AAAGCAAAACTAAACCAAGAGGGAAAAAACGAAAGCAAGCTGCGTCTGCCGTGAAAATATCTCCTCCAGATCTCCCCTTCGAAAATCACTCGCTCTCACCAGGCTCCACCTTGAGAGCAATCTCATCCTCCTTGGCAAACTCATTGCCCGCATCATCGTCATCATCGTTGTCATCAAAGGCAATCAAGGGCGCAGCTTGAGGAAGTCGCGCCTCAGCTTGCTGCCACTCCTTTTGCCATACGTTGATGAGCTCGACGAGCTTCTTCTCCGTCTCCTCGTTGATGTCCGTCCCTTCGTCATCATTCTTCTTGGCGCCGTTGGCGCAAAGGCGAGTAGAAATGCGCTTGAACTCTTTCTGCATTATCACTCCACAGCCTTCTTTGGGATCTTGCCAGTAACGCCTGGTAGCGAGCATCACCTGGTGGACCTCTTCTCGAAGTTTTACCTCGAGGTCATCGCGGACCATTTCGAACATGCCAAGACCAATGTTCTCCACGTGCTCAGATATCTCCGCGGACTGCTGCTTCATGATCCCTTTGCCTACTTGAATGTCAGTCACTGCATTTTCCTGCGAGATTCAGTGAACAGCACAACATACCTTTTTTGCTGAGCGCGGCCTCGAAACCCGGCCTCATTTCCTTGGTCAGAGTATTGAGAACGTCAACCTTTGACATCCGCAAAGCCTTCGCGCGAAGGTTGTCCATGCTAGCCACAATCTTGTCTGAGAAGAACAGAAAGACGTTCTCCATTTTGTAAGAGTTCTTCTTGACCATGTCCCGGAATGGCACCGGAAGCTCCTCATTATCTAGAAGAACTCTGATCCATTGATCGAACGCGAGGTGTATAGTTCCCCTAACCTTGTCTTTGAGTGTGGGGAAGTTCCGCGAGAATGCAGTTTGCCACTTCTCGTGGTGGCCTCGCCAGAATGATGTGTGCCTGTTTCCTAGTAAGTTGAGCTCTCGAAGGACACCAGTGGGAATGTCCGCGTGGTACTTACACGTCAGCCATCCAGTTGAAAGTGCGTCGGACAGCACCCTTTTTGGGAACAGTTCTGTAAAGACCGCCATGTCTCCTGATAGAAGCCTTGTAGGTACCCCAATGTACCTTCTCGTGTTTACCTGCAGAAGACGCATGACCTCTTGGGCTTTTCCTTTCCCACGTCTTGACGGCATGCTTGAGATTGCCGTAAGATCGTTCCAATTGATTTTCCCCGTTCTCGTGGATTTTGATGTAGGTTTTCACTAAATTCTTCTTTCGCAACGGTTTCATGGTGATTAACTGGCGCTGAATCTTGATCCTCACCTTCTTTATGATTTCCTATGACAGATCAATATGGCCATTCCCTTCTTGGGACAAACGTCATTGGTCAACCTACCTTCAAATCATCACCGACCTCGCGGACTGCTTGTCGAATTTTCTTCTTCTCATCTGTGGTGAGAACGGGCAAAGTGTTGAAGTCATCCTGGGTCCATCCATGAACTGCGTCGAAGAGCACCTGGATATGATGCAGGTCGCTGTCAACCCATGCTTCTCTGATGGGAAGCGACGTATCGGTAAGCCAATTGCCCAAAGCCGGGATGCCAGTTGACTCGAGGGTCGGGAAACCTGTCTTACTCTTGCCGTTCTTCATCTTGTTGTAAGCATGACTGCTTAGAGGAATGACCGCGGGTATGGACGATGCAATTGCTTGCGATGATGAATGGTTTTTGGCTGCTTTGAGCAGGCTTTCGCCCACGTTCTGTACCATTTGGCGGTTTCGTTCTTGGATGCAGAGGTACTTCAAGTGGAACTCGCCCTCCTTCGTTGCCTGTCCATCTTCCAATTGCGCCTCAACTAGGCGTGTCGTCATGGACTCGTCGTCTTCATAAGAGTCACTCTTTTGCCTCTTGGCATCACTTGAACAACCGGAGGTATGTTTGCGTTTGTCGCCCTTCTTCTTCACAGAAACTCGCGTATAATCCTCTGTCTCTGTCTCGGTATCGAACTCGTCATCTTCAGACTCTTCCGGCGGGACACCTCTTAGGCGATGCTGAAGCTCTATAATCTCTTTAGTCGGGAACTCATCAGCGGCATCTCTTGTGTCAATGTCATCGATCTTTGTGATTGCCACGCATAGAGAATCGGTCTTGAATGTATTGTCTAGATGGAACTTCATCAAGTCGTTTTCCGTGAAGATGAGGTCTACGGCTGCCTTGTTGTCTCCTGCTCGAGATGCCGGAGAAACGACGATCTGTTTCGCTAGTCGGTCTTGGAACGTCTCAGCAACCTCTGCCCTGAATGACAGAGCGTCTTGGGTTCCTGGAAGATCGACTAGTTTAACCCCATGACGGAGAATAGGAGCCTTCAGGTATACCTCAACCTGCTCGACTAACGGCCAGTACTGAGTTCGGTGTGAGTTCAGGTCCATGCTTTCCGCAAAAGGTCTGAGCATCTTCTTGAACTTGTTCGCATTGGGGGCTGAAATGGTTCTGCTGCACGTTTTGTCGTCAGTAGGTAGCCGGAGTCCTCTATTGCGAATCTTATTGAAGTTGCCCTTTTGCATGATCTCAATTGGCGATAGACTTCGGATGTCTTCCTCGTCCAGACCAGACCAAGCGCAAACCATGTCGATGTTCCGCTTACTGTAATAGCTGCAACTTTCGCTCTGATCCGCATCGTCGTCATCTTGAGCTTCACGTTGATTGTCTGATTCAGCAAGCTCTTCCTTGAGGCCAGTGAGCTCAGTTTCGACCGTCGCCCAGCTCTTGAACGTGATCTTGGCCCTGTAGCGCTTGTTCTCTCCAGTCTCATGATTGTAGCCGTAAATACAGACCGCGGCTGTGCACGCTTCCACCTGTGACGTTGGAACAATTTCGCTTCGGAGAAGCTCATTGAGCAGGGAGCTTTTCCCCAGACCTGTTTCGCCTTGGACACCGACGAGAATTTCCCGAGACAGAGATGTGCGCTTCAAATTGACTGAGGCGAAAGTTAGCAAACCCCAAAAGATGATGAAATCCAGACTGACGAAGGTTAATCTCCCAGTCTCTCACATCTTGCTTGTGACTGCTGTTGGAGATGTGTTGGAGAATCTTTGGTATTTCCTGCAATATACCAAGGCCGGACTCACGAGCCTTCTCTTTCACTCTAACTCGGTCCCCAATGTTGGTGAGAATTGACGCATCAGCCATCCTGGCCTTCGAAGCAAGATGCCTGTTGACCTTGCAGTGAAATACTCTAGGTAAGAAGCCGGTTTGAAGAGGCACCAGAAAGCTTCAGGGCAAGAGAAAGCAGACAACGAATTTGGGAAGAACGTTTGATGTTGATTGCGGTTTGGAAGCAGATGGTCATGAAAGTTTGAAGAACGGAGGGTTGAAGGCAATGAGGGCAAGAGATAATGGGTGGAAGGCAGGAAGTGGTGAAGACCAGAAGGAAAGGAGGCCAGAAGCTTCGAAGCCCAGAAATAATGAATGCTAAAAGCAATGACGGTTATAAGCAAGGAAGGTCGGAAGCAATGAAGCTTGAGGGAATGCAGGTGTTGACGTCTGGAAGTGTTGAAGTTGTGGAAGAGGGAAAGGTTGGAGATGTAAGGTTGAAGCCATGGGAGGAAGAAGAGAGGTTTTTATAGAGCCGAAATGGGGGTAGCATCAGTGAGAAGGAGGGAGGAATGAAGGAAGGAGGCATTCGTGAGGGTCTAGTCAAAGATAAAATAGGAAGGCAAGACCAGATGGATTGAGATTGAGGCAAGAGTACCAAGAGGCAGCTCCCTTTTGCCTCAGGATTTCTTGAATGTGTGAGGAGGAAATGTTTCCTGATGAGCAATGATCTTCCACCGAAGAAATGAGGAAAAGTGGGAAAGAGTGCAAACCTGGTAGAGTTCGAGTCCCGCAGCAACTAGTATTGCTCCTATGTCCGGTTGATTTGACCTCAGACTATTCTCAAGGTCACTCATTTTAAGTAACCCACTTAAAAGACTCTCGATACGGTTGTGTCATCGTCTGACTGATGAATATGTTTGATTATAATGCTGATTGGGGTATTTCCTAACCTTGGAGACGTCTCCAAAGTGCCTCCCTACTTGGGTATATGGCTTCATCTTCATGTCCTCAACTCTCATTACGCCTTCTGACATAGGAAGGATGTATCCCTCCCATTCGCTCCTGCAGTGTACATAAATTTTGATATGACCATCCGCTCCTTCCGTCTTATCCAAGGTTCCCAATTGCCCAGATGGGCAAGAACGTTGTCCAGCTCTACCAACGTGACTTGAATGGGTCCATCTTTGGCTTCCTGACTCCTGCCTTGGGTTCTGCTGTTTCTTTGACAGGGGCCTTGGGTGTAGTCTCGGTGGTAGTACCGGTACGCTGAGGTTTAGATCCGCCTTCAACTTTGGCCGTAGGTGAAGTCAAACCAGTCTTGTTGATGACCTTGGCGGGAGCTGTGGGTTTGACAGCGAAACTACCCGAAGAGTCAGATCTAGAACTGACTTTAGGTGTCGCCTTTAGCTGGGCAGTGAAGTCGGCTGCAGTCATGGGCGTGGCTGCATCTTTGGCTGAGCGCTTAGGTGTAGATTCCGCTTTGGCTTTGATCGTGGGCCGTTTAGGGGCTTCAACCTTCCTCTCGACTTTAGTCGTACCTATAGGTTTGATGGCGGCGCTGCCCCAAGCACTGGGCGAAGACGCACCTCGAGGTATGGACATGAGCTGGGCGGTGAAGTCGACCGAGGTCATGGGCGCCGCTGTACCGCTCGGTATACTCGTACTGCTGCTCCCAAATCCGGTTTCGCGCTCTGCCCCAGCCTCTGGCGTCTTCTCCCTGGGTTCATCGAAGCCGCGCATCTCCCGCTCGATTCTCTCCTGGATAATCCTCGCCCGCTCAGCCTTGGCCCGTATGTATCCCTCCCTCGCCTCTTCCTCCAACCTGAATTGCTCCTGTACAAGCTCCTCCTGGCGCTTCTCCTCCCTCCTCTTTCTGTCGAGCCTCTGCTTCTCCGCAGAGGTCTCGGCGACCTTTTTCGCGGAGGGATACTCAGCCATGTACGCCTGCAGCTTCCACAGATACAGCTGCAGCGGAATCGACCGCTTCTTCTTAACGACGAAGAGCGAATGTTCGCGGAACAAGGGTATCTCCCGCAGCTTCGCGAGGTACTTTGGCCCCATGAGCCGCCCGATGTCGTAGATGGGCAGACTCTTTTCGTACTTTGCGTCCGGGACGTCGTACGTCGCAAACGGCTTCACTTTTCCCTCCTTCATCCACTCGTCCCACCGACTCTCCCCCGCGGGGATGTTGGCCTCGTCGTACCACAGCAGACAGCTCCGCTTCTCCGCGTCGTGGACGTCTTCCCAGGTCTCGAGGGGCTGGATGCACGAGCTGTACCCTTCGTCCGCCTCGACGTACCAAGTGACATACTTCATGATATTCTTGCGCAGGTTCTCGAGGACGAAGTCGCCCATGTCCTCGCGCCAAACGAGGCGTTTGGGGATATCTGAGTTCATGACCTTGGGATTCCTGCCGAGGAGCGTGCGCCAGCCGTCGCCGAAGGGTGTTTTGCCGCGTTTGCCTGCCATGGAGTCGATGACGGGTTTCCGGGAGACGACGTAGGCGGAGGGGGATTTGAGGAGGAGCTGGTCTGTGTCTTTTTGTTTTGCAATGGGGTCCTCGGGGAATTGTTTCTGGGGGGTGGGAGGAATAGGTACGGCTCTAGAGCGGCTCATTTCCTTTTTGCCGTTCTTCTCGGATCCGATTACGTTTGTGAAATGCTGCTCAAAGTCGCTTACTGTAGTGTCGAGGGTTTGGGGCTCTTTTTTGCTTTGCTCTTTGGATTCGACCTTCTCCTCTTCAGGTTTCGTGGATCCGGTCGTCTCTTCGAAACGCTTGTTGGACTCGTCCACTACATTGTCAGCCTTCTTGGATTCGCCCTTCTCTTGCAAAGCTTTCCTGGGTTCGTCATTCACTTCGTTGAGCTCTTTAGATTGGTCCTCCCCCTGTTTGATAGCACCATTGTCCACGTCGTCAAGCTTTCCTGACCCATTCTCCAGATTATCAAGCTTCCTAAGCTCCTCTTCCATAGCATCTTTATGCGTCCACGATACTTCGACGTCACCTGGTATAAACCAGTGCCCTTGAGTGTCCGGATTCGTAACGGCCTTGAAGTTTTGAAGAAAGTATTTCGGCAGAGACGTCCCCGTGACGGGACAGAATCGGACAGGCGAGGCGAGAGCATGGACTACAAGAGGTCCGTCATATCAGCATTTCGCTCCCTAGTATCGTTGTACAGATGGGTGGAGGGTGTCCAGCTACTGACCGTACGGGTTCTGTTCCAACTTGACGCGGAACCTCCCCCCGTTGGGCAACTTATTCATGATAATGAGCCTCGGGCTCTGCGTCTTCTTGTCCAAGCCCATCCTAGTCCTGTACCTGTGTTTCACGGGTGCCTCCCCCGGGGAAGACAAAGAATGATCCCGGACCTTGGCGCTCTTGGATTTCGGTCTGGGTTTCGGCGTCCGGTACCTCGTACGCACATCCATCCACACCGGGTCCATGACGGGTGAGATGGGCAGGTCGCCGGCCGAGGTCCTGACTTTCTTGTTCTCCTTGTCTATTTGTACATCTTTTGCAATTTCGTCGTGGCCTAGGACCTCTTGGATTCTCTTGGTGAAGTGTTCCTGTCTTTCCTCTGCTCTGCGCTTTGGCGCATCTCGTATCGCTTGGGCTTTTGCCTCTTTTTTGGACATTAGCGGTATTGGCGGTGCCCTCCCCACTGCCTTGGCTTCTTTTTCTCTTATGTATTTCTTGGACAAGAAAACGGGCCCCGGTCTGGCCGACGGGGTTGTGCCATAGCTTCTGTGAGAAGTTCTGGGCACTCGTCGAATGCCTGGGAATGGCTTCATCGCGGTCGAGGGGAAGACCCCCGAAGGATGGAGCGATAGTCGCAAAGTGTCGCCAGTGTGGTCGGTTGGTCTCGTCTGGCTCGAAAGGAGGGGAACTGCTGGCTGCAATGGGTGCGCAATAGAACGGGCGTTGGGAAATCGCCCGGAGACTTCAAGATTCGGAAGGGATCCCCGGAGTGGCGGCGCAGCTCAGGAATACAGCGTAGACGAAAAAGAGCTTTACGCGCCTCGGGGCAATTTTTAGACGAGGACGCGTGGGGGAAGCTCGGAGCTCGGGGGCGCACAGGGGCTAACCAGCTGTCCCTGTGGACGTCACACCTCTCCCGCCAGCGCTTGTTGCCGTCGATTGCCGCTTTTTCGCATTCTTCTGACTTGAACACTACAACACCACACACGCGATCTTTGCTTTCGCACCCGCAGCCATGAACTGTCAAAGGACGTTATTCCGAGCCCTGAGGACCGTCCCCCGGCGGCACGCCAGGGCCTTTTCAAACTTCCCAGTCCCAGGCTTCCCTCCCGTCGCAGGAGGCGGCAGCAGCAGCAGCCCACCGGTCGGAAACATCCCTCTGCCTTACATCACCGAGGTTTCGGTTCGTCTGCCCATGGCCATATGAAAACACTTTGGTCGCAAGAGCTAATTGATTAGTCGAATGGTTGGAGGACATGTTAGTGCACCGCGACCGTTTCTGCAATTGGGCATTTTCCCCTCGCTGACCACGCAGGTAGACGACATCTTTTCCAAACTGCTCCAGGTACGATCCCATAGACACTTCGAGTTGTCACGCGCATCAAGCTGACGCATACACAGGAACGCATTGTCTGCCTCAATGGCGCGATCGACGATACCGTTTCCGCATCGATTGTGGCACAGCTCCTGTGGCTCGAGTCCGATAGCCCCGACAAGGCGATTACGATGTACATCAACTCCCCAGGAGGCTCAGTATCATCAGGTTCGACAGACACCCCAATTCGCCGTCAGAGAGAGATTTATATGAACGATGAGGCACTGACGAAGACATAAAGGACTGGCCATCTACGACACAATGACATACATCAAATCACCAGTATCAACAGTCTGCCTCGGCGCCGCCTCCTCCATGGCAGCGCTGCTCCTGACGGGAGGCGAGGCGGGCAAGAGGTACGCCTTACCGCACAGCTCCGTCATGATCCACCAGCCGCTGGGCGGGACGCAGGGCCAGGCGTCGGACATTCTCATCTACGCGAACCAGATCCAGCGCATCCGCAAGCAGGTTAACGAGATCATGAAGCGGCACATCAACAAGTCGTTTGGGCACGACAAGTACAGCCTGGAGGAGATCCACGACCTGATGGAGCGCGATAACTACCTGTCGGCGGAGGAGGCCAAGAGCATGGGCGTCATTGACGAGATTTTGACAAGGAGGGAGGAGAAGGACCTCAAGGAGAAGGATTCGACCGAGGAGCATAAAACGAAGCCCTAAGTCTTTGAGGACTGTGGTCAATTGGTATCCAGAAGTGTTGATTTGTAACGTCATGTCTACTCGGTCTCCGTAGTGAAGCTAATGGAGCTGAGTTGCGATTGTAGGAGAGGAATATGGGGGCAGCACGCGCGTTGCCGGGTAGGCGCGACCCACTTCCGGCGGGATCGGTGTAGAAAAACGGGGCTCGTCCGGGACCGGAAGCATTCCGGGCTTATCGGAAATAAGCAAGAGGTAATGTGATGAGGTAAAGCTGGGAGCAATGTCACAACACCTCTGTGTTTCTCAGAGCTTGGAACATATTCATCAGTAAAGAGTATAGACTCTAGGGAAGTTCAATTGACGAAGGAATGCACCAATATGTGCTGAAATTGACCTTTGGTGGTGGTGTGGTTACAGTCGCACACCGTGGCTGACCTTGCTGACCTTGCACCCGACGCCGGTGGCTCACCTCCAAGCTGTGCAGCAGAACGCAGCCAAATGGCACCAAACCTGGGGGGAACGGAGCGTCGGAACCACAGCTGCAGCCAATTAACGACAAGGTATTTCAATGCGGGGAGCACTCGGCGGGGAGCTCCAGAAATTTTAGGAGCCGACATCGCCCCAAATTGTTTCCCCCCCCTGTGGCTCTGGCACTCTGGCTCTGCTGCTAGCGGCTGCTCCAAAAAAACTATCGCTCGCAACGTCTCTTGCTCGCCGTGTCCCTGTGACTGTCCCTGTGATCTCGGGTCTTTCTTCCACCGCACCTCTTTTTTCCTTTTCTTCGTGACTCACCTGGCATCGATATAAAAGGGGAAAAGCATCGAGGGAAAAGATTCGAAAAAAGAAGATCAATTGGGAACTCAATTGAACAACATTCTCTTACACACGCCTCACCTTTCCTTTCCCTTCACCCCCTTCCGCTGCGTCGTCTCCTGGGGCTTCCCGGTGATACCCTCGACGAAATGCTCTCCCGGTCCATCGCCCGCCAGTCACAAGCTCTTAGAGCTGCGACAAGGCGTCCTACCTTTGCCAGCCATGCGTAAGAGCCCTCAATGGACCATCAACGGCAAATAGCTAACCTCAGTACCTCTATAGACGTCTCCTCTCTTCCACCGCGCCCCGACGCGCCGACGAGAAGCTGAACAAGGTCTCGGCCAACATCACCCAGCCCAAATCCCAGGGCGCCTCCCAGGCCATGCTGTACGCCACCGGCCTCTCCGAGGACGACATGAACAAGGCCCAGGTCGGCATCTCGTCCGTCTGGTACGAGGGCAACCCTTGTAACATGCACCTGCTCGACCTCTCCAACCTCGTCCGCAAGTCCGTCAAGGACGCCGGCCTCATCCCCTACCAGTTCAACACCATCGGTGTCTCGGACGGCATCTCCATGGGCACAAAGGGCATGCGGTACTCCCTCCAGTCCCGCGAGATCATCGCCGACTCCATCGAGACTGTCATGAACGGCCAGTGGTACGACGGAAACATCTCCCTGCCCGGCTGCGACAAGAACATGCCCGGTGTCGCCATCGCCATGGGCCGCGTCAACCGCCCCAGCATCATGGTCTACGGCGGCACCATCAAGCCCGGCTGCAGCAAGAGCGGCGAGTCCATTGATATCGTCTCCGCCTTCCAGGCCTACGGCCAGTACATCACCGGCGAGATCACGGAGGAGGAGCGCTTCGACATCATCCGCAACGCCTGCCCCGGCTCCGGCGCCTGCGGAGGCATGTACACCGCAAACACAATGGCCACCGCCATCGAGACGCTGGGCCTGACAATGCCGCACAGCTCCAGCAGCCCCGCCGAGGATCCCGCCAAGAAGGCAGAGTGCGAGAACATTGGCTCCGCCATCAAGAACCTGCTGAAGGAGGACATCCGCCCGCGCGACATCATGACCCGCCAGGCCTTTGAGAACGCCATGGTTGTCGTCAACATCCTCGGAGGCAGCACGAACGCCGTCCTTCACTTGCTCGCCATCGCCGACTCGGTCGGCATCAAGCTCACCGTCGACGACTTCCAGGCCGTCTCGGACCGCACGCCCTTCCTGGCTGACCTGAAGCCCTCTGGAAAGTACGTCATGGCCGACATGCACCGCATCGGCGGCACCCCCGGCCTGCTCAAGTTCCTTTTGAAGGAGGGCCTCATCGACGGCTCCGGTATCACCGTCACCGGTAAGACGATGAAAGAGAACGTCGCCAGCACGCCTGACTTCCCCGACGACCAGCCCATCATCCGCCCCTTCAGCAACCCCATCAAGCCGACGGGCCACATCCAGATTCTGCGCGGCCAGCTCGCGCCCGGCGGCTCCGTGGGCAAGATCACCGGCAAGGAGGGTCTCGTCTTCACGGGTAAGGCGCGCGTGTTCGACGAGGAGGACGGCTTCATCGCGGCCCTGGAGCGGGGCGAGATCAAGCAGGGCGAGAAGACTGTTGTCATCATCCGCTACGAGGGACCCAAGGGCGGCCCCGGTATGCCCGAGATGCTGAAGCCTAGTTCCGCCATCATGGGCGCCGGACTGGGTAAGGATGTCGCGCTGTTGACGGATGGACGGTTCTCTGGCGGTTCGCACGGGTTCCTGATTGGACATATTGTGCCTGAGGCGATGGAGGGCGGACCGATTGGGTTGGTGCAGGACGGGGATGAGATTACGATTGACGCGGAGAAGAGGGTGATCGATACCAACGTGTCGGATGAGGTGATGGCGGAGCGCAGGGCCAAGTGGACGGCGCCGCCGCCCAAGTATACCAAGGGTACGCTGAAGAAGTACTCTGCTCTTGTGAGCGATGCCAGCTCTGGATGCGTCACGGACGGCAAGATCTAAGGCCTTTGGTGTCTGTCTGGGTTTGAGGAAGGGGGAAAAGAGGGGAGGTTCTCCTAATTTTTGGTCAATTTTCTTTTTGGCGGAATTCAAAAAGGGAGCGGCGGGGTTTGTTTCCTCAATTTTTTCTTACTAGAGGTTTCTTCTACACTTGTTATACCATCTTCTTGTACGGCTTCGGAAAAGGTAGTCCCCAGAATCGGAGTTTTGTTTCACGTTGGTTTACGTCTGCCATATGAAAGAAGTAGATTTGGCAACACGTGTGTTGATATAAAAATGGAGGCCAAGATGGTTCAATATGAAGTCAATACTAGTGGTATACGTAAAACACACTACAAAACGTCCACACCTGGATTACGTCTACACGTTTACACGACGGCTTCCCCTTGATGGAAGCTCGCCCATGCTGCTTTTTTTGGTTCGTCCTTGGCTTCTCGCCGATTCGGGGGAAGTAGACATGGCGCGACAAGTACCTCCGAAGCTCCTAGCTATGCAATAACACACATACCTCACGGCAAAAACGTAACAACGGACAAGCACGACGGCCGCCAACCTGCCAAACTACCGTTCCCTTCCCTCTCCTCCGCTTTTATTGTGGGATAGTGAGAGGCTCCGGGTTGGTTTCTCACTTCCGCCCGTTCCACGCCTCGATAAAGGCAGCCTTATCCCGCAACGTCAACCCGACGCGCTTATTCCGACACAGCCTAGCCAGCGCTTCTCCAACCTTGTCCAGCACGCGTTGTTCCTCGACCGAGAGCGCCGGCGCATCGCTGCCTCCAGCCCCAATTCTTCGTTGCGCGGTGTCTCCGGCCACAGACGACGAGACGCCGTTGGTCTGGGCGGCGGAGGAGTTGAGGATACTCTCTGCGACGCGGACGCGGATGCAGGTCGTCGGGCGGGAGAGCAAGTCCCAGAGGAATTTCGCCCAGCGGCCTGGGATGGGGGTCGTTACGTCGGCGGGGGTGTAGCGGATGCTGACGGGGAAAATGTGGACTTCCGGGCTGACGGCGAGGAGGGAGGGTGTGAAGGGGAGGACGCCTTTGCCGTTTGTGGTGCCTCCTTCGGGGAAGACGGCGACGACGCGGTCTGGGTAGCGGGCGACGAGGGCGGCGAGGTCGGTTAGTTTTCGGGAGGAGGGCGGCGGTGCGAAGCGGACGGGGGCGAGGGCGTAGAAGACGGCGCGGAGGAGGGAGATTTGCTCGACGGATCTGGTGTTTGGGTAGGATATGGTGAAGATCGGGTCGAAGATTGCGGCGAGGTAGACGGCGTCGATGGGGGATGTGAAGTTTGCGGCGATGACGGACCCGGGGTGGGGGAAGCGCTGCGGGGGCTGGTCGGCGAGGGTGCCGCGGCGGACGCCGTCGAGCTGGAGGTCGACCCACCAGATGCCCGGGATGCCCATCATGCCCCAGAGGAGGACTTTGCGGACGGCGACGGGGAGGAAGGGGCATAGGTGTTGGAGGAAGAGGAAGTAGGTTGCTGCGTAGGTGAGGAAGAGGGGGAGGCGGATGAAGAAGAGGAAGGTGTGGAAGATTGAGGAGAGGGGGGAGAGGGCTGTTTTGACGGGGATGAAGGGCGAGATGCCCGATCCTGTTGGATGTTAGTATGAAGTCTTGAGGGTATCGTGTGATCTACGGGCTGGGGGGGGGGGGGTTGTCTTTACCTTTGTCGCGGAACTGGCTAAACTTTTCCATTGTGGGAGATGTGGTGGGAGGTGTGACGGTGGGACAAAATGGTCGTATAAGTCCAAGCTGATGGGGAGAGCGGAGAAGTAAGGTAGAGGCGGGTTGATCACCGCGACATGAGGCTCCGGATCGCAACGGTCGTGGTGTTTTTGTTTAGTCGGACCTTGGCGTACCAAGGGCGGATCCACGCAAGGACGTTGAGAAGAACAGAAGAGCACGAGAAGGAGGGGAAAGCTGAAGAAACAGAAAATGGAGTGAGACCCGGCAATGGCTGCTCTCTCGTGTCACGCAACTCTGTGGTCGCCGTGGTTCTCCCAGCACTGAATTCCAGGTCCGTTGGGAGGAGTAGCAGCAGCAGCGAGCGAGACAACAAATCTCAGATGCGACGTGAGCTGGCGAATGAGCTTCCCAACGTCATGGTGCGGCGGACGGCCAGCAGTGACATGTGAAATTTAAAGAATAAAAAGAAATAAAAAATTAAAAAAAGCGAACCACCACGTTGCGTTGCGCCAGAGGTGGCTGCGGGACGGAGATGCAGTGGCACGCAGTGATAAGAGGAGGCGCGACCGCTTACTACATCAGGACAGCTGCACCTGATTCTGCTGAGGTAAGCTGACCTGCGGCGAAGCTTCGGATATTCTCGTGGGCTGAAGCCTCAGGCAGCAATGCGTCGAGTGACAATCCAGATGCAGCCTTGGTGATTACCTAAGATATCGCCTTATGTCAGCGTTGCACAACCCCCGTTGCCCCGGGCAGCCAGCCACCCCCCCGGCCGCCGCAGTTGTGTGCAGCTGTGGCGGGCGTCTCGACTGTGTACACAATTCACAGTAAACACTCAGACCCTGGTGATGCACTTCTCCACCAGTCACGATTGACAACCCACACCCCTCCCCATACTGCAATCATAGCTTTGGGCTCTCTCTTTTTTTGAGCCATTCCCGCTGCTGCTGCTGCTGCTCCTTGCCGCATGCCTGCTCCAACTTCACAACGTCTTCTCCTACCGCGTCCAGAACTGGAGCGCTGCTCCTCGTGTCCCACATCATCATACCCGTTGTCGCTCGTCGCGTAGACAGCATCCTCAACATGGACACTGCGGAGAATACGGTATGTCTTTCTTTGTCGTGCGGAATACGAAGCTTTGGCAGTGGTCGCAAAGTGGAAGCAACATATAGCAAAGCCACGATGGACCATACGCAGCTAACAACATCCCCCTTCACAGCAGCACCACTTCCGATCCTCCGTCATGCGCCCTCACAGCAACCTCCCACGACCAGGCGCCTTCACCTCTGGCCTCTCCGAAATGAACGAAGCGCAAAGCAACGCGCGCGCGCACCCGTCCATGATACCGCCGCCGGGCGCATCCAAGATTGGCTCCCTCAATAGCGCCATGAACCTGAAGAGGGAGGTCCCCAAGCCAGGTTGGTCCTACTACCCTCCCGGCTTGCGCTGGGATGACTGGTTGCGGCTGCTGACTGTGCCTTCTACAGCTGAGCATTCGGCTCCCAAGCACCACAAGACCCTCGCCGAGAGGGCAGGCGAATACCCGACCAAGCCATCCTCGGCGGCGGCAGGCGCGGGTGCTTCTGGCATCGCCAGGGCCCCTTCTGTCAGGCGGGTGCCCGGGTCGACATTGGCAGAGGTAGGTTCCCCAGTTTCGTTGCAGTCCGTTGCATCTGTGTGAATCATCCACCTCGCATCTCATCCCGAACCATCGACGTCGAAGCGTCTCCTTGGACATGGCCCCCGAATCGACTACGGCCTCTAGCATCGTTCTCCGGCTCGACGGTCTTCGGACGATCATTTGGATAGCGGTGCACCTGTACCGCTCTATACGGCATATCTGGCGGGCTGTCATCCAGTCTGTTCCTCGGCCATTCCTCTGGCAAAGATTGCTTGCGTCCTTCCCGCTTCCCCGGGACCAGAATACCCTCAGTCGACCACGCTCTCGTCCTCGAAACGGTTCCTCAGTACCTCCACCAACGTATTTGCGCAGCGTCTCCGGTAGACTACAACTGTGGCTGGGATTACAAAGCGACGGCGACAACAGACGTAGCGGCATTCGACTCCTTCTAGACACCGAGGTCCAAGACGCCGAATGCTACCAGGCCATGGAATGCGACGACGAGACGGACGACAGGGATGAGCTGCGTTGTGTACCGCCCGATGCTCGCTCACTACTACCACATGTAGTTTGCATGCTGACTCGTAGCAGCTCAAAAACCCAGATAACATCAGACCTCGAAATGGAACGACGACATCACGATACAATCAAAACAGCAGCTTCTCCGCGAGCGTCGGGCCACGAGGCCATGAACGTGCAAAGTCCTCCCTTGCTCACTCCAAGTCGGTACACGGACAGTCCCGGACCCGAAACACCAATCCGCATACGAGACCACGCACGGCATACGGTCATCGATCAGAGGAAGAGTTTGATGGACCAATAGAACAACAGCATGGTACGGCTCTGCATACCCAGCGACTGAACTTTCTGCGACCCCTTGAATTTCAGCCTAGCAAGGCTAGACATGCCAGTCACACGTCACAAATGCATTCGCACAGAGAAGTTTCTCTTAGCAGTCGGTTTGGCGCACTATCCATCAAGGACGACGCCAGTACGACAAGCTCAGCACAAGATGAAGATCAAGTGGTTTTCAGCCAACATGGGGGAGACACCAGCGTCAGTTCAATCTCGACTATGGCGAGCATCGCGCAAGCGGACAATGTCACCATGCGCGCGTCATCACGCAGGGCCCTCATGAAACCGCCAGATCTGTCGCCCAAGAAGAGGCAGGCCAGTCGCATGACCGATCCTGTCACGCCTTCGCCAGATTCTAAGCGATCGAGGGCCATGATGGAAAGACTCGAAGAAACAATCATGGCCATCAAGGACTCGAGATCCCCAGCCAGATCCCCTTCTCCTTCTAGACTTCACTTTCTCACAAAAGATTCTAACTTGACTCAATTCGTAGGCTGGGATGTCGAAGGCAGGGTTGCCGAGCTTGACTCGCAGTTTAAACAGGTGAAGGAGTCAATGACTGTCATGCTCTCCGACAAGGAGTTGATGGACGAGCGAGTGGAGATGTACAAGAAGAGAAGTGAGTAATAGTTCGGACGACGAGCTACATTAGCGCGGACTGAACTAATCGGCTGGCAGTATCTGAACTCGAAGCGGAACGAGACAAAATCGAAGACCGCAATGGAAATTTCCAAAATGAAATCAACAACATGCGCGAGCAGATGCAAAAACTGACAATTGAATCCGAGACGGCAAAACGCAGTCACAAGTATGAGCTCGAGGACGAGGCTCGGAAGCACCGTCATGAGTTGGACGAACTGCGACGCGAGCTCAAGGATGAGACACAACGAGCGGAGAAGACTCATCGTGAGGCTTTGGACGCTCTCGAGCGACATTTCAAGGCTGAAATCGAGGAAGAGCGTCACCAGAAGTCGAGGGAGGTGCAAGACTTAAGAACACGGCTTGGTCATGAGCAACAAGACCTCAACGCCATCCTTCAGAAAAAGGACAGAGAAGTTTCGGAAATGAGAGGCGTAGTAGAGACACTCAAGGGAGATTTGGACCGCGAGCAAAGTCTCAAGAAGGGACTCGAAGCCAGCATTTCGGAACTCTCTGCTTCCAACGTCACCCTCGAGGCCAAGATTAACTCGCTCAAGTCTCATGTCGAGTTTCTCGAGTCAGACAGTAAGGCTCAGTCGGACTCCTTTTCCAACATGGAAGCCAGACTGCAAGAAGCGCTCAAGGCGGCCCAAGTGGCCGAGGAGAAGCTCATCAAAGAGGAGACGGAACGTCGCGTTCTGTTCAACAAGTACCAAGAGCTCAAGGGCAATATTCGTGTCATGTGCAGAGTCCGTCCTGTACTGAGTTCGTCAGAGGGTGCGCCGGCCAAGGTTACCTTCCCCGATGAGAAGACATCTGCCGAGATCGCATTGCAGACGCAGGAAGTCAATAGCTTTGGCGATGTCTCGAACAAGAACATCAACTTTGAGTTTGACAGGGTGTTTGACCCATCGGCCCAGAACCAAGATGTTTTTGACGAGATTTCGCAGCTCGTGCAAAGCGCACTCGACGGTTACAATGTGTGCATCTTTTGCTACGGCCAGACGGGATCTGGCAAGACGCACACCATGTCTTCTGCGGACGGCATGATTCCTCGCGCGACGCACATGATTTACGACACGGTTACCAAGTTGAAGGAGAAGCAGTGGACCTACAAGATGGAGGGCTCCTTTATTGAGGTGTACAATGAGGAGCTCAACGACTTGTTGACGCCCAACAGCCGCGAATCAGACGGCAGGGTGCGCAAGCTTGAGATCCGCCACGATGACGCCCGCAAGCAGACGGCAGTGCTCAACTGCAAGACTGTGTCTCTTGACTCGGCTGATACGGTGGAGGTGATGCTCGCTGAGGCGCAGAACAACCGATCGGTGGCGGCTACCAAGGCCAACGAGCGGTCGTCGCGGTCGCACAGCGTCTTCATCTTGAAGCTGTCTGGCTACAACTCGGCAACAGGAGAGCGGTGCGAGGGTACACTGAACCTGGTGGATCTCGCGGGTTCTGAGCGGCTCAAACACTCGCAGGCCGAGGGCGCCAGGATGAGGGAGACACAGAACATCAACAAGTCTCTGTCGTGTCTCGGCGATGTGATTGAGGCGCTCGGCAAGAAGAGCGGGCACATCCCATATCGCAACTCCAAGTTGACGCATCTGCTCCAGTACTCTCTTGGGGGTAACAGCAAGACGCTCATGTTTGTGATGGTCAGCCCGTTGGAGGCGCATCTGAAGGAGACGGTGACGAGTTTGCGTTTTGCTACCAAAGTGAGTTCTAGCCGGCTGCAAACACCCTTGTATGAGAGAAAGATGCTAATGTCCGGCAGGTTCATAATACCCATATTGGCACAGCCAAGGCTACGAAGAAGGCGTAGTAGACCGGCCGGATGGCTGACGAAGGCGTTCTTGGATCAGAGTCACAGTAACTGGGCCCGGCGTTGGAGGATTTATTGCGTGGTTGGCGGGGCATTGTTGAAGCTGTATATCCTAGAAATACGTACGAGTACGATTCCGACATACAATACAAGCCCAAGGGCACTTTGTACACACTCAATAGGAGTATGAGAGTGATGATGTGAAGCAAGTGGAGATGGCATTCGTGGACGGTGATGGAAAGGTGAGTCTCAGTGTGTTTAGGGCCTCATGTAAGGCATCATGACCTGAGGGCCCCTCCTTCCAGGGCGTGACTACTTCCCTTGGCACGCGTCAGGCGCGTCTCCCCGCTGCAACTGCCCGTGCCAATGCTCCAACCCCACCATCCATTACCTTACCTCACAGGCTCGCCCTCCAACTTCTCAGCTTCGCTTTTGCCAAGGTCGAAAGACGCCGGCCAAACCAACAACGACGTGAGACACAAAAGGGGCTGCCGACGCCCGTTGTGCATTTTTCGATTACTTTGTTGCCTGTCGCATCACAGACAACGTTGTTTCTCGCAAACATTCTTTCCAACCATCAGTCTCTACAATCTATCGTTTTTGTCCATCTGGCCAACGCCATTGAACTAGCCTGCCCTCAATTCGGATTCCAGTTTCCGTCGTGAGCCATCGTCCGATTTCTTGGGGGTCGAACACAATTTCCGTGGTGTCTGTTCAAGCGCAAGATCTATCATCGATCATTTGTGCCCAGAGGCCCTTCAAGACATAAGCGACGACCGCAAGCGACCCCGAAAACGAGAGAGAGGCAACGACACGCAACGCTTCAACCCACGCCCTGCCGACCGACGCTCCCATATTCGAAATGAACGGCATCTCGAAAACCAAGAAGGGACTGGGCGACTCCATCTGGGCTGCCCGAGGCAAAGCTCAACCCTCGTACAAATACCAGTCGAACCAGTACCATTCCTCCGTCATCACACCCGCCGCACCGAGACCGCCCTCCCCGATCAAGAACGGCGCCTTTCGACCCGCCACGACCGCCTCCACGCCTGGTTCGGCTACACCCAACAGCAACGGCAACGGGAACACAAACACAAACACAACCCCCATCTCTCACACACCTCGACTGAGCGGTGGCCCTTCGGCGCAACAGGAGTTCAAGCGGTACATCCAAATCGTCCGCCGACTGAAGTGGAAGCTGCCGTACCTGAGCCACGGGTACCACCACGCCATAGCACGGCCTGGGTCGCCGCTGTACGGGGGCGAGACGGACGCCGAGGAGGCGGAGCTCATGTTCAAGCTCGACTTTTACGAGTATTACATGCTGCTGGAGCGGGCGTTGGTGCATTTGATGGGGGTGTTTGGGATTACGATCTCGCGGGACGGGTGGGTTACTACGACGACGATGACCACGGCGAGGCAGGGGAATGGGACGCAGCAGCAGGCGACGCATACGTATCATCAGAATGTGATTGCGGCGTTGGAGAAGGAGGATAATCCGCTTCATGAGGCGTTGGGGAGCGGAGAGGTGGTGTTTCAGTTGTTGAGGGCCAAGGAGCTGCGGAATCGATGGAAGTATGCCGAGGATCCTGCCGACCCGGACGGCAGCGGCAGCGGCAACAGGAACGGCGGCAGGAGCAGCATGGCGGCGAGGGAGAGGGCTGGGACGGCGCCGTTGGAGAGCTATGACCTGGATAGGATTTTTAAGTACATCTTTGCCGGGTTCGATGCTGGGTATGCGGTTGCGGAGCAGTGGGTGCAGGCGGAGATGGGGGCTGGTGGTGTTGGTGGTGGTGCCGGCGGTGCTGGTCTAGGTGGTGGGGTTGTCGAGATGGAAGAGGATGAGTTTGATTTCATGGTCGAGGCTATGGATTGGGAGGCTGTTTAGTGAGCTGTTGGTTTTGGGGCTGGATGGTTCTTGTTGGACGCAATGTTGTGGATGTTGGTATTAGTCCCGTGATGGAGAGGAAAGGTGCTGCTCCTCGGTGGTGTTAGATCATAAGTCTGACGGGAGACGTTGGTCCGGACCGTTGAGGGCCTTGTGAGGATCCAAATGGTGGCATAGCATGCATTATTAGACGATACCCCTTATTCTTTAGGTTGTTGACTAGAAGTATATGATTTCAAGAACTTGGTTTCTTGACCTGGCTTGAGGTGTTCAGGCTTGCTCGAGCTATGGGATTGTGAAACTATCTGGTGCTGGCGTTCGCGTGTTCCTACAGATGAGTCTCGGATAGGTCTGTTTATGCTATGCGTCACCGACTTAAACCCACCGCGTCCCTTCCCAAACGTGGGAAAATAAACCCACGATGATTCTACAAGTGCCTGAGCTTTCGAGGAAGATGGGGCTCCAGTAGAGTCTTTCTCCAGGTCTGGATTATGGATGAGAAGGGATGGATGAGTGTATGGTTTGACGGTTGGTATGAACGGGTGGTATTGCGGCTGTCTGGGTGAATGCAAGTTGAAGTTTAATTAGAGACGTCAGTAGAGGAAATGAAGAAAAGGGAGGGAACCGTTGGATGGTTGATTCAAATCCCGGCGCAGGTTCAAAGTCTCTTTTCTACATCACCGGTAGGGACGGGTGGGATGCAATGTACTAGACAAAGCAAAGAACGAGAAATCCAAAGTTTTCCAGAACGCGGAGAATGAAGCCTGGAGACGAGCTTTGCAAGAGAACCGAGGTATACGAGCGAGATGTACGTTGCCTCGAATTCTTGACCTTACGGTCAGTTTCTAGTGTACGAGTAGTCTTCCGTAGATCGGATGATACCCTAGAGTGAAGAGACCCATCTCAAAAAAGCTCCATGTCCGAGGATTTCCAACCGATGCCATCAACCATATTTCCATGTCATGGCGGTGAACCGACCTTGAACGACGTATCCGTACCTTGGGTACGGTATGCGCCCGCCTCGCCTCGCCGAACTCGTTTACAAGTGCGAATACGCGAGGAAAGCTGGCTCAAGCTCCCAAAGTGTGCCCAGGATGGCATCTCCAAACGGCAACGGATATGCACGTCTGCAGCAAAACATGCCAACCGACCTGCCCATACCCCTGCCTGCCCCTCTCAACGTTTGGAAAGTTTCACCTTCGGCTAAGGCATCTGCCGTGCGCCGTCTGCCACTAGCGGCTGATCCGGCGGTGGGGGGGGGGGGGCTTTTGGGGATGCTTGGGGAGAGATGTCTTGGTATTCCCGGCCTCTGGGTTGGTTGGTACAGATGAGCACTCGAGAGTCAAGCGCCGAGGCGAAGAGGTATATGCCTCCCCGGTGCTTGGTTCTGCAGACTGCAGCTAGTGCAGTAGGTATTCAAAAAATGCAATACTAATGTTAGGCAAGCACGGCAAGGTAGCTACTCGAGTCTTGAGGTGCCAGGCTAGGCCCTGCGAAAGGAATGCAGTCCGCCAAGCGAGGGAAGCAGATCGCGGGACCTGTGAATTATGGGGAGCTTTGCCCAATTGGGAGTTGCGTATTCGTGAGCATTTCAATGGATCCCCAAGTCATCGAGGGGGCGGACGTTCATCATCTCCTACGCCCCTCCCAAAAGAACCCGTCAAGAGGAAGAGGGCAGCGGGCGCGGGTATAATTCTATTCTCCCGCCGCCGGAGCTCTTATCCTTGACGGAATGATTTGGCTTTTTTGCCACGCCGCACGACATCTTTCTGAGAAACTATGCGGCTACACAGGAATCCAGGGACCTGGTGCGGTCAAGTGGGAATCCAGGAAGCTTGCGCGGGACAACACAGCTGAGAAGCGTTTGGGGTGTTCCTTTTTTCCAGCATGGTGCGTTGGTAGAGTAGGGATCTACCTGATTATTTGCTTGACACGCTTCGTGAGAGAGAGAGAGAGAGAGAGAGAGAGAGAGAGAGAGAGAGAATGAGGGGTTCGAAGTGACAGCAAGGAAGAATAGGAACAAAGGTTCTTCGCACTCTAGGTTCCAAAGTTCCTCCCGCAAGCTTGCCACGCTTGCCCGGCTTCACATTAGCGCAGGCCCCAGGTTTGTTAGGTATCTGTACTAGGGAAAAGTGCTGATGTCTGTGAGTTCTCAATGACAAGGATAGGTATCAGCTAGTTCATACTTTACTGTGGTGATCACTTGGTGTTAGTCCCATCTTCCCTCGCTCCTCTTTACCCGAGCGTTTCGAACGGACTCGTCTCAGCTGGAGCCACACCCACTTCCATCTGCTCTTATTACGCAGACTGATATCGTTCCTGCCTTTTCTTTTCTGACTTTCTCTGTTCTCTCCTCTGCAACTTTGTTCTGTTGAAGTCGTCTCTCGGAGCTTTTCATCTCATCTTTGTGAGCTCGTCAGGCTCCCTCGGAAAGGAAAACATCGCCAGAGAGTGAACGATCTACGAGAAAGACGGTTCAGCTCCCGCACAGCCCCAGGAACCCAGGCAAGAAACAGTACGAATCAAACGGTCGAAAGGGTCGTCGCCGCAATGTCCCTCGCAACAGCAGCAACCCAAACCCTCCTCCACCCCCAACGCTGGCCGACGTCCATCTGGGTCCTCGTCCTCACGGGACTCGCCTACGCCGTCGGCTTCCTCGCCTACCGCCCTTCGTTCCCGCGCAATGCGCCCAAGGTGGTGCGCGGGTGGCCCGTCCTCGGCACGCCGCGTTTCTTCACAGACCGGGGGACGTTTCTGGCGGAAGGGGCGCGGTTCGGGCGATTCGGGAACTGGAGCTTTTATTTTGGCAAGATGAGGATTGTGGGGTTGTCGGGAGACGCGGGGCGGCATGTGTTTTTTGAGAGTCGCGATTTGGATTTTACAAAGGGGTGAGTGTGACTCTTTCTTTTCTTGTCTTGGCCTTTTCTTTTGGTCTTGGGAGAGAGAGGAAGCGGGAGTGGGAGATGGTTGGCGTTGGTGATGACTTCGACTAACACCATCATCACAGATACGGCGCCCTCTTCAACGCGACCCCGCGCATCGACGTCGCTAAAAACGGTACCCAAGCCGAAGAAGACAGCTTCGGCGCAAAATTCAACCGCAACCTCGTCAAGCTCCTCCGCAAAGAGCTCCTCGACACGCGCCTCCCGCTGCTGATCAAAGACACGCGCGACACGATGGACGAACTCGCCGCCCGCATCGGCAAGACCTCGACCGTCGCACACAGCACTGGTTCTTCAGAGACGGAGGGCATCAGCGATCCGTTTGAGGACATGTACCGCCTCGTGTTCAAGCTCACGATGCGCATGGTCGGGTGCGATGAGATTGCCGAGGATGAGGATTTGTTGCAGCGCGTGCTGCGGATATTCGAGGGGATCGACGGCGCGAGCACGGCGACGAAAGTCATGTTCCCCTGGATGCCGACGGTGGGTCATTTGAGGAGGGTGTATAGCGGTGCGCAGATGTACATGATTCTGGAAAAGGTGATTAAAGAGAGGAAAGACCGCGGGGTGCCCGGGAGCGACGCGCTGCAGTATCTGATGGAGAACGGGGACAGCACGGTCGAGATGGTTGCGTTTATCGTCGGCGCGCTGTTTGCGGGGTTGATTAACAGCGGGATCAACGCGGCGTACCTGTTGTGTTTCCTGGCGACGGAGGAGAGGTGGTACAAGGAGGTGCAGAAGGAGGTGGACGGCGTGATTGCGAGGCACAGACGGTCCGAGGAGGAGACGGCGGAGCAGATTCTGGGGAGGCTCGATATGGAGACGTGGGAGGCCGAGTTTCCGATGATTGATTTGGGGTTGAAGGAGACGATTCGGCATACGATTACGGGGTGCGGGTTCCGGTATAACGGGAGCGGGAAGGATGTTGCTATTGGGGGGAGCGGTGAGGTTGTGCCGAATGATTCGTATGTGGTGTATCATTTTGATACCACGCACATGGACCCGGGGTTCTTTCCGGAGCCGTTGCGGTGGGATCCGGGACGGTATTTGCCTGGGCGGGAGGAGGATAAGAAGGATCCGCATGCGTTTATTGGGTGGGGTGCTGGACGGCATCCGTGTCTTGGGATGAGGGTGAGTGTTTCTTTTGGTGTTGCATGATCTCCTACTCTGTCTGGCTATCTCTTCTCCAGACACCTTCACCTCGGGAGGGTCTTGGGGCTTGGCCCTTCGTATGGACATGTTTGCTGACGAATCCGGAAAACAGTTTGCAAAGATGGAAATGGCCGTCACGACGGCGCTCTTCGTCGCGAGGTTCGACTATCACCTGGTGGACGCCAAGGGGAACAAGATGGCAAGGGTGCCCGAGGACTCTGTGGATCGGAACAAGCACTCTGCGTCCAAGCCAAGGGAGAAGCTGTTTTTGAAGTATTCACTCAGGGCGTAGGAGAGGCTTTGAAGTTGATGATGGGAGTATAGTTAAACTAGATTGCATCGAATGGAATCAAGTTATGAAGCAATTATGGAAGAAAAGTAAATCGGGGGTTTCTTTTCCAGTCATCATTTAGTGTCTTATTACAAGTACAGGGGGTTTACATGGAGTTCAGCCTGGGCGTCGGTTTCCATCTTTGGACGACGGTGTTGATTCGAGATCATTGCTATGAGTGAAGAGATGCAACCGATGTTCCAAAAGGCGTGTATATCAGTCTTTAACAAAACGTGATCCTTATCATCTCTTACCCTCATCAGGAAAGGGTGCTATTCGGCCCCCGAGTCGGCGACATAAATGCAGCATAGGTACCAACCAAAAAACCCCCGAACCGGTGGGTCCCCTTCCCCCTCCGAAGACGGGACCGCCGAACGCCGATGCGGAAGGGAATGGAATCCCCCCCGCGCCCCGCTGCAGACAGTCCTGTGGCCTGGAACTGGAGGAACTGGGGGCTGATGGATGATGTGCTGATTAGGTACTATTGGGCGCAGCTGTATCCTGCGGCGTCCCTCTCGCATGTGCTCGAGAACCTGTAGGTAAGCTGTAACTGCAAAGGTGGGCGCAGTAGCGACTCTGCGACGTGCGCAAATCTCATCTCATCTTTTTTTTCCTCTTCTCAACCTCAACCTCAGTCATCCTCCCAATCTCACTGAACGTTGTCTCCCCCGTGTATATTACGCCGCGGAAATTCTTCTCTTTTTCACATTTCTCACCCTCCCATAGTTCCTGCCTTATTCAACGTCATCTTCTGTGTCAATCGGAAGAGAGTGAGCGAAATAGTTCGGATCTGGAATCCCCGCATCATCGTCAGCACTCTCCGATTGCGACTTCAAGATCGGCCCGCGATCCCGTCAACTCATCCTCACCAACCTCACCATCCTGCAAAATCCCTCACTTACGGACCCAACCCTCATCACGAAAAGACACACCGAGGGATCAGCACCCTCATAAAACCCCAAAGATGCGCACCCATCCAGCCCCAGCAGAATGCGAAGTCATCCAACCCGCCACCTCGCGCGGCCAAATCCTCACGCCCCTCATCCTCATCCACGACGGCGGCGGCACGACCTTTGCCTACCACTGCCTCTCCCAGCTCGCGGGCCGCGCCGTCTTCGGTATCGCAAACCCGCGGTTTCACTCCGGCGTGCCCTGGGAAGGCGGCGTCCCCGAGATGGCGGCGGCGTACCTGCAAATGATTCGAAATACGGTTACCAAGGGGAGGGAGTTCCCCGCCCAAGCGCCGTATTCATATGTTACGACTGCTGATGGAGGGAGGCTGAAAAGGAGGAGGATTCTGTTGGGCGGGTGGAGTCTCGGCGGGCTGCTTTCGTTGGAGATTGCGAGGTTGGTTGGGGAGGAGGATCGCGATATTGAGATTGTGGGGCTGCTCTTTGTGGATAGCGTGTATCCTGTCTGGCCCAAAGGTTCGGAGGTGAAGATTGGGAGGTTTGTGGAGGATGAGAAACTGGAGACGGAGGAGCCGAAGAATGTGAGGCTTGCGAAGAGGGCGATGAAGATGGCGGGGCAGGTGGTGAGGGTGTGGAAGATGCCGAGGTGCGGGGCTGCGGGTGAGGCCGACGTTGAGGTCCCCAAGGCCGTTGGGTATGGTGATGCCGATGAGAGGACTGCTGTGGAAAGGGAGAGCGCCACCGGCGGCGACGACGTGGAGAAGGACTTTTACGTCTCCAAGGAGGAGAAGGAGACGGCGGAGGTCATGTGGGAGAGGCCGCCAAGAGCTGTGCTTGTCAAGGCTAAGGAGCATGTTCCGATGCCGGTCGAGGGCATCAGCTCCGTGGATGTGTATCGAGGAGATGAGAAGCTTGGGTGGGATGGGTATTGCCCTGGGTTTGTGGAGGAGGTGTTGTTGACGGAGGGGAGCCATTTTGATATGTTTGCTTGGACGAACTGTGATGGGATTACTGACAAGATTAACGAGGCTTGTCGGATCTTGGAGGGAGCTGTTATATGAGGTAGAAGGATCGGTGTGTGTGCTTTGCGATGCATGGCGTGGAGTGGGTTTACTTTGCTGGAAGAACTTTTGGCACATGGGACAATTAGATCAAGGAGAAGTTCAAGTAGAAGTCATTGATTTAATGCTAATTGAGATTGAAATCCAGCGATTACATTCGGCCGAGGACTGAAGCTGACGCAGATGGCCAGGACATATGATGACCATCATAGAACGAAGCCCCTCCGCCGACTCAATACCATGCCGTTGTTATTATTGAGAATTCACATCTAGCAGACACATTCGGTCTTCTTCATGGTTTGACGATTTCCAGTCAGGTTGAACGGCCTGCAGAACGAAGTGACTGCGAGGAAAGTACGACCAGACCGTACCTTCCTCATATTCCAGCGCGAAGGGTATATAAACGCCCTCAGTCCCATTTCTATCACCGCCAGAAGGCGCCCGTCTAGGTCGACGGGTCAGGTCAACCTGGTTGGGTGGTGGAGTGGTTCAAGGTCAACTAAACATACGCCAACCAGCCTACACGACGACAGGCTTAGCGAGTACCCGAGGTCGAATCCCAGCATGAGCGCCAGAGATGTAGCCACACCGGTGGTGAACTCGTTTTTGCGCCCGTGTTACTTATCTCGTTAGATGCTTACGAGAGTTAAGTCGAACATGGCTCGTTATATAGTCAGGAGTGGGCAGCCACGGTCCTGCGGTCTCGGAGCAAAAGGAAGAAGCCAAGGTATCAAAATAGAACTACTTCGGCAGTTTAAAAAGGAATGATTGCAACCGCCGGGGTTCGAACCCAGGTCCCCAGCTGATTCCCTGAATGGGAGGCTGGAATGCTAAACCACTGCACCACGGTTGCCTTGGTTGATTGAGAGATACTGAGGGCAGAGGACAGGCAGCTCTTGGACGGACGCGGGTCTGTTTGGGGGTCACGGGGTGTAGGATTCCATTGTATTCCATTGGTGATAGCCTGGCAGGTACATGTGGTTTGCTTCCTTCCCTGTCCTGTCCCGTTTGCCTTTCTCCGGAGAAGTGGAGCGGGCAGGCGCCGGAGAGACCCACCCGGAGCTGAGTCCGAAGTCCCCACGCGCCCAGTCCCGGCCCGAGCTTGTTCACCGCCCCGGCTTGGCGACGGGAGTCTACAGATCCAGAGATGGATCGCCCTCCGTCTGCCTCTCTTTCTTGCCCATTTAGATGTCACCCCTTTCCTCGTTCTTGCCTTCGTCAACATTCAATTCGCAGGTTGCGCCTCAGCCGGCACAACCACCCTCTCCTTCTCGACGACTACCACCGGGGCCCTTGTCTCCGCCGCCGATGCCACTGCCGCCGCCGGGGGAGATCTCCCAGAGATAACAGCAGGCGCCGGCGCCGCCTCCTGGCCACCCCTCGCCCAAGCCTCAAGCGGCGTCGTCAACACCTTCTTCAGCGCCCCAAAAGCATACATGAAAAGATACATGAGCAACAGATTCATCATCCCCCAAAGCGCCACGAACACCTGAAAGACGACCCACGGGTTATCAACGAGGTAATCGCCCAGCCCAATTCCCGCCTTCTCCTCAAACTCGGCGAGCGCGGTGGTGAAATTCTTGCGCGCGCCGTCGTCGTCGGAGAAGAGACCCTCGCCGCCGGCTTCTTTGTCTTCTTTATCGGCTGCGTCGAGCGAGGAAGCAAAGAGGAAGAAGGCGCCCATGAGCACCACCAGAAAAAGGGCGAAGACTACGCGCGCGAGCTGGAGGAGCCAGGTTACGGAGAAGAGGAAGAGGACGAGAGCGCCGTGGGGGGAGCCGTAGTCTGCTGTTGCGAGCCAGGTGGCTAGGTTACCGCCGGCGCCGCCGGTAGGAGCAGGAGCCGCGAGGGTATTTCGGGCGTTTGCTTGTGGTTGCTGCTGGAGTGCTGTCGAGGGCGTGGCGGCGACAATGAGCTTCGCAACGAGGAAGGTGAGCAAGGAGGGGAAAGCGATGAGCTGGAGGAGGCCTGGGTTCGAGTCTACGGCTGTGAGGCCGACGCCGCCGAGGATGAGGAGGGTCCATGATCCCAGGATAGAGACGGCGAGGGTGGTGTAGAGCCATGAGATGGCTTGGCGGAAGATGTTAGCCATGGTTGGTTGTACCACTTTGGTGCTGTGAGCGTTGAGGATCTACGCGGGGGTGCTGATGGGTTGCTGGGGTCCAACGGCAGACTCAGCGCCTCAGCTCAATTCGCGCCAAGATTTCTACTCGGTTGTCAGTGTTCTGTATGTTGTGTTTATTTAGAAAATCGCTCTTGCGCTTACCTTGGCCTCTGATCTTGATTGTCGAGCTTGAGCAGTCGGAGATGAGTGACAGGTAAGACGAAGATTGAGAGTGACAAAAAGGGGCTCCACTCGTCGTTGCCTGGGATTTTCGGGGTCCCGGATGTGGCTTAGCGCATCCATCGGCTGAGTGAACTTTGTTGCGACCACCATCACACAAGTCCCTCGGACAGTCCCTTGGACAACGATCCTTCAAGCCATTTGCAGCCTCCGCCGTGGTCACCGGCAAGACCTCTGTCAGGGTGGATTCAGGATACCAGATGAAAATTAATGGCCGAGCTCAGGATTCGACTTTCCAATGTCTTTGCAGTCGTCAATATGTGCCCGGGACTACCTAAAACTCGTGCAACGCTTGGCCTCATCCACACTAAGTAGGGTGAAGCTTTGCTGGCATGAGAATAGTGAGAGGAACTCGCCAACAGATTTGAACGTTTTCACTGCTGCAACAGAGACCGCGACTGGGAGCTGACGTGACAGGCAGATCAATATCAGGGATGGTTTGAGTCCGGGATTGGGTTTCCGACGACGCAGCCTCGAGGACCAGCTCCACGGAAATCCCTTCTTCAGCTACCACGGCATCTGAAATGTTGTGGCGATAAAGCAACCTGTCTGCACAAGTCGGTATGGGATCTAGACTGAACTCGGCCGAGTTTGGGGAGCGCTTCGAATAATATTCCGAAAAGACGAAGGTATGCCATATGGAACCATCTGCCCGTCACCTTGCCTTACGCTATCGCTGCCTATCAGTTCACAGAGTAAGTGGAGTCGATGCCATTCTGCCCCATCTCAATACCGAGGGTTCTGAGTGCTTGATTCTTGAGCTGTAAATCTTCATTGAATACCCACAAGGACGTATCTAACGCAACGAAGGCAGCGCATTGAAAGAGTACCGCGAGATTGATGAGTCCAAAAGAGATGTTTCCTCCTATATTCAGTGGGAAAGCAATCTCTGAGATTCTTTGTGGCATCGCGAAGAGACCCAAGGTACTAGGTAGAGTGAGGTTGCGCGATCTGCTCAGGGAAATGCCCAACACGCAGTATTCTGAGACGTGTTCACGTAAACCCACCAAGGTATAAGCTTACTTCCATGACCAATAGATGATGAAGCCAACCGCAGAACAGCGTTGCAGGATATGTTACATTGTCGCCCCATGAGTCTTTCGAGAATGGATCCCAAGGATGCCCTCGGTTACAACCTGGGACCACCCAGATCCCGGGCTCCCACCGATGATGCCCCGTTTTCATCTTATCAGATCCGCTCTTGCATGCGGGCCAAGCATCAAAGTTTTTTATCTGATCCGTTGCCAACCGTCCAATTGCACACGCGCCAAGCCGGCGCGATACGACCTTCGGGGGACCCAACATCCCGCCCGCTCGTTGGCCAGCGCGGGAACCGCCTCTGGGCTCTAGGCTACGCGATGTCGCTTCTAGTGCAGATGGTAGCGCAAAAGTCTTTAATACGACGTCTTGTGTCCCACTTGGCGGAACCACATCTAGAGAAGCAGGCTCATTACTACCGCTTTGGGACACCCATTCGCGGCGAGCAATTCGCCCGGTTAGCCAACGATCAGCCAACGAAACGATGCTGCCCAGTGCCAAGTCGTGACGTGTGGATCACGTTCGTGCAAATTCGGGGACTGGGCAGTCTGGCACGCTGCTTGATGAGGGGACCAAGACGCCCGGGTATGGTTTACGTGAAGTTTTTCACTCGCTGTGCCGTACGATCTCGTCCGATGCCGGGATTTTGTCGCCCTTCAGAGTCATGTTGAGCGAAAAGGACCCTCGAAAAGATGGTCTCGTTCGGTCTGTCAATCCCGCTGCAGGTGGTAACCATGGTTTGGCAGAGTGGATTTACGTAACATTTCTGCCCGTTCTTTCGTGTTAAGCTTCTTTTCATGGAAAATCGTTTCCCACTTTGTATTTTGCTCTGCATGGCCAGTCGAATACATAACCCCGGGACCCTCGCTGACACTCTCGCCGTTGAGACTGTGCTCCTTCCGTCCCAAGGCACACTCGCAACCCCAAGTCAGAAGTCCCGTGACAAGAGTTGACCATCATGAGCTCCCCTTTCGTCCAGCAGGCTGCGGCCGAGAGCCAGACCCAGAGCCTCGATGAAAAGACACCAGGCAAGACAACGACGGAGATCAGCACCGACAACGATGTCGAGGGTGAGAAGGAAGAGGCTCAGAATGGTGTCAAGAAGATCCAGGCCATTACAACGGCTTGGACCTGGAGAGCTCTCATCTTTACCTACATCTTGTAAGTGCGATCCAAGACAATGGGACTCAGATGGTCCCCAGACTGACATAGATGCTTTTTTTTTTTTTAGGATCTGGGTGACGTCTTACACCCATTCAATGCAACAGCAGATGAACAGCAACCTCGGACCCTACGTTACTTCATCGTTCCGTCGTCACGGCCTCACTGCCACCACCGGTATCGTCTCTGGCCTGGCTAGCGGTGTCTCGCAGTTGCCCCTCGCCAAGATCCTCAATATCTTCGGCCGCATGGAAGGCTACATGCTGGCCCATCTCCTCTGCTGCTTCGGTCTAATCTTGATGGCTGTCTGCCGCAATGTCGAGACCTATGCCGCTGCCCAAGTTTGTCATCTTACCTTCTTGTTTGGTCAACTTGTCACTTACTCTATCGAACTAGGTCTTTTGGGCTGTTGGAAGTGGTGGTATTGGCTATATCCACACCGTCCTCATCTCCGACACCACGTCTATCCGGAACCGAATGATTATCTACACGCTCAACTCGACTGCGTACATTGCCAATGCATTCGCCGGTCCGATTGTTGCGCAGCTCTTCAACGACCATAGCAGCTTCCGATGGGCGTTCGGCTCCTTCGCTATCATCTTCCCCGCTTTTGGCTCCATGATCACCATCATGCTATGGTGGAACCTCCGGAAGGCGTACAAGCTTGGTCAAGGACCGGAGCTGAAGCAGAGCGGCCGGTCTCTTAAGGAGTCCTTCCTCTTCTACTGCACGGAGTTTGATGGTAAGTTTGAGACAACTTTATCGTCGAACCTTGAGCATAAGAACTAACAAAAACTAGTCGTCGGCATGTTTCTCATCATGTTCGGCTTTTCCCTATTCTTGCTGCCGTTCAGCTTGGTATCCTACACCGCCAAGAAGTGGGCTGCCGGCCATATCATTGCCATGATTATCCTTGGAATCTTCTGTCTCGTTGCCTTTGGTTTCTGGGAGAAGAAGTACGCAACTACGCCTCTTGTTCCCTGGGTCAATCTGAAGGACCGGACTATCCTTGGATCGGCCGCCGTGGCTGGTGTCATCGGGCTGAGTTTCAGGTAATTAACCTAACGCCTCTCACATCAACCCAAGGAAACGATCGCTGACATTCTCAACTAGCTCGTGGGATTCTTTCTTCTCATCGTACCTCCAGGTCGTGCATCGCCAAAGCATTAGCCAAGCTGGTTTCATCGGCAATATCTACACGATTGCTTCTTGTACCTGGGGACCTATCGTAGGACTGTAAGCCATGCCATGCCTGACCTCTCACAAAAGAACTTTCAATGCTAACATATATTCTTAGTCTCATCCGTCAGACCAACCACTACAAGTGGATCGCCTGCGCCGCCATCCCCGTCGCCTGCCTCTCCACCGGCCTCCTCATCCACTTTCGCACCCCCGACACCTACATCGGCTACATCATCATGTGCCAGATCCTCAAAGCCGTATCCGCCGGCACGATCATCATCTGCGAGCAGCTCGCCGTCATGTCCGTGGTGAAGCACAACGAAATCAGCGTGATGCTGGCCCTCATCGGCCTGGCCACGTCGGTCGGTCGCTCCATCGGCCGCGCCATCTCGGGCGCCATCTGGACCAACGAGTTCCTCGACTTCTTGATCAAGTACCTCCCCGAGGACAACAAGGGAGATGCTGCTACGATTTACGGGGACATCAAGGTGCAGCTTTCGTATGCTTGGGGAACTCCCGCTCGCGCTGGTATTGTGCACGCTTATGGAGATGTTCAGCGGCATATGGTTATTTGCGGTGCGGCTTTCATGCCTTTGGCGCTTGCTTGTGTGTTTTTGTGGAAGAATGTCAACGTGGCGAAGGTGCATCAGACCAAGGGTCAGGTCTTTTAGTGTACAGGCTATGTCTAAGAACTCGTCGAAATTGACCCTGCCCTATCTGGTATACCCCATGAATAGCTATTCACTTTTTTCGTGTTCAAACTACGAATGCTGTAAAGAAGATCCGAGGAACGTGAGTTCCACACTATGAAATTCCTTCTCAATGAGTCGGAACGGTGTTCTGAGAAGCTTGCCTACGCGATCAGTACAGCCCTGCTATGACATCGTGACCTCCGAGATAAGAGAAAACTTCTTCCTTTCCCGGCAAGCAATACTCAGACTTTGGCATCTCCTGCACCTTTTTCCAACACCTTGGCATCTGTCCTCTCGCGCTCGGCACGACGCTGGTCTTTGACTTTGCTTCTCATGCCCTCTACTTTCTTTTCAAGTCTTTTCAGGATCTTATCGCTTGTCGTCCAGTCTTTCTTCCACTCTCCAATCTTGAGATATAGAGTATAGAAGCCGGAGGTGACAAGAACCCATGTCTCTAAGAGCTTGTATGCAGACCAGAAAAGTGTGCGCGGGTAAGTCCAAAAGGCGAATACAATGGAGATGAAAATCACACTGGCGGATATTGGGACTAGAGATGTCTGTCAGTGCACTGCGAGGGGTTAACAGCAATGGGGATTCGATTGCTCACACATCCAACTTGCCTGGTCTCCAAAAGACATGTTGGTGTCGCCAATGTCTCTATTGTTCATGCCGAACACACTCGACATGAACGATAGCGGTAGCTTCGCATCATTGTTAGCCTCCAGAATCTCTACCAGAAAGGGGAATTGGAGGATGGGAAGGCAATGGAAGGAAACCAAGAAATTGAACGTACAAATATGATGGTAACAATCGTAAAGATCATGACAGATCGTCCCTGGCGAACGCTTTCGTCTGCTTGTCGGACCGACTGCCATGCCTGCAGAATGCTAGCCTGCTGCTGTTTTAGGTCGAGAAGGTCTTTGATCTGGATCTTATCGGTCAGCGTGTGGGTAAACAAAGGTATTGGTAAAAGAACCCACGCCTTGCGATGTAGTCTCGGCGCTCTTACGCAGGCTTTCGAGCTCGTTCATTCGGTCGTCCACATCCGATATGAGATCGTATGCTTGTTTGCGGAACCAAGTAAACTCATCCTTCTCGCGTTCCTCTTGTTTCCTAGCCTCTTCTGTAGACCCGATCTCTTCGCCGCTTTGCGAAATGGACCGGGAACGAAAGTAGTCCCGATTGCCATCCGGGCTGAGTGTCTCGTCCCGCCACTTACCACTCGGGTCGTAGATGTTTTCAACGTGCTTCACGAACCGTTTGATGACTTCCCTTTGTTTCCCATTGACATGTATCATGATATCTAGCTCATCGATAATGTCTTTTATTTCTCGCTGCAGCTTGCCCTCAGGGTTGATGTTGAGAAGCGGGACGTGGAGATGGGAAGTGTCCTCGAACGCTGATTTGGAGTGGTAAACCTTGGAGGCTTGCTCAGTCCAGTGCCAGAGATGCTGGAAAGAGACTGTTTGTTTGTTTTGCTATGTAGTGGTCAGTTCAAGTTGACGTTATTGCAGCTACATGTAGCAAGTAAGTTGAGCCTACCAGAGTGCCGATGGATTCGGCGAATATATCCATGACCTGCGGATGTCGATCCTGAACAGGTTTTAGAAGACTCTGCAAGAGAAAGAAGAGGCCATTGCATTACTCACTGGTGTTTTTGTTCTGTCGAAGAATGTGTTTGAGCACTCATCGAGAATGATGAGCGCGACATCAAACACAGATCGGATCTGGTTTTTGCGAGCGTGCTTGATACGAGTACGTATCGACTTGTGAACCCCTGAGGGATCTGATTTGTTCGCGCCGTATCTTTTCGGGAAACTGGTGATGATCGTCTGCTTGTCCAAGATCCACATCCACAGTTGGTCGACCATGACAATCCTGGACACCTTGCGTATCTCGTCCCTACAGTGATCGCAGCCGTCCTCGTCGGTCTTTGTCCAGTGACCGTCCCATTTGTAACGGCCAAAGTTGCTTTCAGATGGGTCCGTAACATCAAAGTCGGGGTTCTGCTCAGGGCTTGAGGGAGCAGCGGAAGGCCAAAACGGTTTCTTGTCTTGGCAAGACTGTGCAGGGTCTCCACGGCGCTCTCGAAATCTGTGGATGTTCCTCTCATCCATAGTTGTGCCGCGGTAGACAACCTGATCCCTGTCTCTCGCTTTTGTTGTCTTTAGAGTCCAGTAGTAAGACTGGTCGAGGGTGCGTCAGGGGTGTAGAGGTGGATCGTGGTGAAGGTACTTCTCAACCAGACACTGATCTCTATACATGGACATTGCCTCGTACAGTCTTGCGGAATCCAAGAGAAACTGCCCTAGCTTGTTCTCAATCTGCAACCTCCCATGGTCGGAGCATTTCAGCTTGGGAACAGACCACAAGTTGTGGTCATCACTGCCGTGCTCATGTTCAACAGGACCCTCTGATGCAAATCCACTAGCAACGTCAGCCATAGTCTTGCCGTTCGGGTTTCCGCCTGCGTTCTTCTTCCAAGCACTGAGAATGCTTTCTTTATGAATGGGAGAAACTTTGTCGTGGTGCTTGATACGGCAAAGGTCGGGCTCGAGCAAGTTTCGTACTTGCTTGTTGTTGGTAGTGGTTGGCTTGTAAGTACGTTCCCTTACTCTCTGGGCACGGGCGTCATTGCGCTGCTTCTCATGTTCTTCTCGATTTTTCTCCGAAGCTTTGTCAATTATTTTAGCCATGTTGTCGCGCTTACGATCTTCTTCCCAATGCAAGTAGGGCATCTATTAGAATGTAACGTCGATCAGTTCAGAACTTCAGAACACAGATGCTTCATTGAACGTCTCTGGACTGCACAAGCATGTAACTCACAAACAGGACAAGGTTATCAGGGTTGTCTTCCACCTCCCAGATCCCTATTTCACAGCATCAGTATGATTCCAACGCCTATCGAACGCGATGTAGTAATCTCAAATCGCAAAATCAAGTGGCTTACTCGACGAAATACGCTCGCAAATAGCACGCATATGTCTAGCATGCACCAATGTGCGTCTGCCGCCATGCTGTTGACCTCTCCAATATTCAGGACGTAATACCATACGGCTGTGCGTTTTCAACTGAGGGTTTCGGTAGATTCCGTTATCCAGTGGACATTCCTCATTGAAGTAACGTGCGATGGCCTCCTACAACCGGTTGAGTCCAGTGAACAAAACGGGGAGCTTAGATCGCAACATACCTCTAGCCACTACCAAATCACATCAGCATGAAAGTTTCTTGTCAACAAGATGATTGCCCTCACCTGCATATTGTTATGCGGTATATGGAAGTACCGCACTCTTTCATCCTTATTCGGACTCCCATCCTTATTCGGACGATCTCGAGATAGGATTACGTCCCGAAACTCTGGTCTCTTCGGTGTAGGGTCGAGAAGGTTTTGTAATGTCAGTCTCTGATCAGGAAACTTTCCTTTGAAACGGTAATCGCTAAGGCTTTCGCTCAACGGCTCCAGATATTTCTCCTGTTCTGTGTAAGGCTCGAGGTAGGATGCGGATTGCATTGTCCCAGAGCGCAGGCGACTGGGTCCAGTCGGGCGTCTCTTTGGCTTGTGGTCTGTGGCTTCGAATTGAACTGTAGCTTCGCTCTGCGCTCTAGCTGTTCGAGTTCGAGGAGATTGAAGAGGGGAAGGGGGAAGAGACGGGAGCTGTGGTGGATTGGGCGATGTTGGGGAAATTTTGGTTGGCGTGTTCGAATCGAGCTTCTTGCGTGACTCTCCAGGCCTCAAAATCTTCCACTGAATAAGGTAGCCGTTCATATCTCGTTCCAGTTCGTACGAAGGCGTGTTTTCGTCTTCTTCGAAAGCATAATCGACATCGATGTGGCCGTTCCGGATGATCTTGCGAGCCTCTTCCCTCTCAGGTGCCATCCTGGCCCGGCCATTGCTTGATAAATCCGGACTATTTGTCAGATGCTCATCCTCAACATCGCTGCTCTGTGCTGATGATGTTTTATGTCGTTTCCAATTTCGGATGATCTCGATTCCCTTCTTGTAACTGCGTGACTTTTTCCATTCCTCGTGACTGTGAGATACAAGATGAACCAGGTCGCAAGGAGGGTGTGGATTCCCTTCGTTCCCTCCGTGCTTGTCTCGAGGTTGATCTTCGCATTGGGGACATCTCACTTCCGAAAGTGCTTTTCGGAGAATATCCGTTCGCTTGTATTGCGCTTCGATGCTCACAGCGAGACTCTTGATTCTAGCTTCCACTTTTTCTGTCGCAGTCTTTAGCCGTTCTTCCTCACTGGTGGTAGGCTTTCGTTGCTGTAGCCTCTCAGCCTCGATTTGGATCTCGTGATCCCAGAGCTCCCAGTTTTTCTCTCGGCTCAGATAGTTGACTCGGTCAGCGATTTCGATGCAACCAAAATAGTGAGCAGCGTGATCTCGAATCGTTCCGTGGCTCCTTTCAGCTGGGCCGTGAGGCTCTGCTGATAGGCATGTTGGAGAGCTACCATGATCTCCCATTCTAGCTTTCCAATGTAGAGGAAGAGAGGTTGTAGAACGAATTGAGCCTCAAGAATGGGTTCACCCAAGCGGTTTTCTTGGGATGAAGGTAGTTTATAGGTAGTCAAGCACTGCAGCCAATTTCCCCATCCCCCCCTCCCCTCTTCATGGCCAAGGCGAGCACTGTTGGTTTAATGGGCTCAATGGAGATGGGGGCCAAAACGAGGCTCGCGGTTATGTCGCAGCCATCTCAATTACCTATCCACATTGGTCAATGGGGTGGTCAGATCGAAGACATGGAGGTCGGTCGCCTGCAGCATGTACCAATCAAAGAGCTGTCTGCCTGCTGAGCTCCCACCCGAATCAGTCGAGGGAGTGTATCGGTGGCTGCATGTTGATGATGACCGGCGTCGGCACAAGGCAGGGGGGGAAGTTTTGAACCCAGTAGAGCCTGTAAGTCCAATATCAGGTAATGTTTCGCCACGCGAAAGGCCCCTGATAAATCTGAGCCGGAATCCATTAACTAGTTCCTAACGATGATACTGTCGACTACAAGTGACCTAGGTTTGTCCGGTTCTTGATCTTTCTGTAAATTTGGCCAAAAGGAAAGAACAAACTGGCGCTCTGCCATGCACGCCTTCAGAAAATGCCCATGAGCTACTTATCTGCCTGCATGTGTAATGCAGGCGCGCAGGGAATTATAGTCGAGAAGCAACATTCCTACCCCAGTCAAGGCGCTGTGACACGAGGTCAGCCGCAGCGGCAATGGCCCAAGATGGACTTATGTCCGTAGGCGAAATGCAGGTCATAGATCAAGAACCTACAGACCCCTACGAAATACTGATGTTTCATCCAGCTGTAGCCTGATCGCACAGGATTATCTCGGGTTCACCGGATACACAAGAATCGACATAAGTCCATCATAGTAAGCGGGAATGTCCTGGCAGTCAACACCCATGAACTAGAATCTTGCTATGAGACTATCGTTCTCCGAGATTACATACTGCTTGATCGGAAGAAGTAAGACCATCAGAGGACTAACCTAAGTCCCTTGCTTGTGCTAAAATCGTAGCTTGCATCCTGGCTACTGTTGCCGTATTTGAATCTTTATGTAAGCGGATACTACATCATTGTTCAACATCTTTCCCAGATTTCACAGAGAAAGTGACAACGTTCCGCCACTTTAATGAAGCTGACCACCACAGGCGCAGCTGATCTGTACTATCCGCGGCTTCGCGTTGGTCCGCTGAAGCAGCTTGAAATCCCTCAAGAACAAGCGAAGCAGTGTAACTTCCTCCGAGTTTCTTCAGACCATTCAATGAAACGAATTTGAAGTAAATCGAACCCAAAGTCGCGATATGCTGGACATATGATGGTCCTAGATGTGTCAAATCTACAAAGCATCCTTTAAAAAAGGTTTCCATTCAGTATTTAGCTTGCGGTGATCCCGAATTCACAGGTGAATTCCGACTATTCGTCTTTCATATGCCTACAATGGCTAAGCTTTCTCGAATTGATTATCAGATGCACAGTCAGTATAGCTCCGCTATGACATCGTGGCCTCTGAAACCAAGGTAAACTCTATTCACAGCAAGGGATACAAGCCCCTCTACTTTCCACTTCCTCTCTGACAGGAATTCCATCGTCGCCATAGGATAAGAAGCGAGTTCGCCTGGGTGCTGGTGCTTTCGTATTGTGGTACGGCCCAGCATCTTGCTGAGAACACTCCGTTTCGATTTCGCTTCATTGGCGGAAAGAGTTTGCAGCACTGCCAGACTTGTGGGCTGAGCCAATTGCAGGATTTGAGAAAAGGACAACCTGTAAGTTGGAGGCGCGAGTCTTTGGACTTGCATATCCTGTATGGGCTGTGTAGAACTGAACGCACCCTCATCATATTCGCGAATGAGAACTTCCACTTTGGGTTCTGCTCCAGCGTGAAGGAAGCTCTGGACTATCGAAAACATGTCGTTCAGATGTTCGATAGACTTTCCATCTTTGGCTTTCCGAACAGGGCCCCGCAATCTACTGGCGCAGACGTTGCTCAAATAGCTTGTGAGTCTAAATAGGAAAGCCTCCCATACAGATACAGAGCCACTCGTTGAAGGCGAGAAAGGATTCCAAATTGATACGAGATCATTTGGATGCCAGCCTTTTTGGAGCAGAAAATCTACCAAGGCAGGATCGTCGGATTGAGCTCCCGAGAGCAAAAGGCTGATGCTCGATGTATCAACCATAGCCGGGGTTTCTATGCTTGCCACTGTTTGCTTGATATACCCAGTCATACCAAAGATTGCAGCAAGGTGTAGAAACGAAAACGGTTCCCGTATGGATCGACCCATGTCTTTTTGTTGCTTGAGCCTCACAACCATAACAGTACGTGATAACCAAGGGGAGGTGTGTTTTTGCTCGCTGCATGCATCCCTTGTGTTACTTGCACCGCAGAAGATAACGGCCAATTCCTGGACGAGTGCAGTGAAAATGTCGAGTTCCTGAATTGGAGATAATTGGAAGACTGTAAAGAAGTGTACCAACTTGGAGTAACAGACAGAATGACCTCCTTCTGATGAGCCGAGGTGCGGTTCTGGACAATGTGTCATCTCTGCTATAAGCAGCTCTGCCTTCACTGTCGCCTCTTGCTGAGCTGTTCCAAGCGGTCGTTGAGTCAGGCTTGGCAGCCATTCTTCCGTCAAGTAGTCTTGCACGGTTCGGTGGAAAAAGCCAAGCTGGTATTTGTAGTACGAACTACTGCCGTTCCGTACTCTTGAGTCGAACGAAAACTCTTGACTTGCTACTATCTCGATTAGGCCCCTTGTCAATGTGCGTAGCTGGCTTTGTGCCTTCTTAAGCTCTGCTCGAATTCGGCTCTCCGTGAAGCTCTGGTGACATGAGCGGCTGGGCAGACCCATGAGCGTTTGCAAAGTCCGAGATTCATCCAGCCATGAGAGCGTCAGGGCATTCAAATGGACTCTAGGGTGCTCTCGGCTTGCTACCAGTTGCAAGAGAACCGCGGACCGTAATCTCACCGAAGGAGAAGGATCAACGCTGTCAAGCATCTGATGGAAAAGCTGGTTGAGACTTTGAGGGCACTCTTTCAACCTTCTTCGAATAGAAAACTTGTCTTCATGTTCTAGAGCCGCGTTCAACAAAGCTCTGACGACAAGGCTGGCCCAGAGGAAGACGCCGTCGGCGCGTGCTACTATTGTCTGAACCATCCCCAGACATGCTTCTCGGCCTTCTGCGAAAATTGGCTTGCTCAAATACTCTTCAAATCGAGTTTTGGAGAAAGCGTATATATCGGCCTTTGTCAAGTGGTGAAGCTCAAAGAATGTTTTGCTGGCGCCAAAGATGTCAAGATTGACAGTGGAGGGCCGGGCGGAGCATATTATCTTGACATTATCTGCCCGTGCCCACGTCTCTAGCATTTCTGCAAGACGCTTCTGGTCGAGAGCATCTCCCTCGTATTCATCGAGTCCGTCAATGAAGTAGCAGAAGAGATAGCTCGTGGTATTCTTCAGCAACTGCAGTCGGCTGAAGGCCGCTTCCAGCTCAGATAGTGGCATGGCTGCTGAACGAGTGAATAGACCTATGCCGAACGGATTTGGGAAAACCATTTCGAGCAATTCGGGGCACTGGCTCAAGGTGTGAAAGAGAATAGTCCGATAAAACCCTTCCAGAGATTTCTGCAAAGAATCGCCAGAACTCCAGAAGAACATGTTGACGAGGACGAGTTTTCGTCCGTTGGCGCAGCCTGCCAAGGTTTCTCCCACACTGGGATGGCGGCCAAGAAACTTCATAAGCGTTGACTTTCCACTGCCTGCTTTCCCACATATGAAAAACACCTCTCCTTCATCTTTCAAGAAGGAATGTAGTGATCTGGATGTTGCTCTCCGATGATGGGTCTCTGCAAGTAGGATTTTCTCCCAGTCTATGTAATCGTGATCTAACAATTCTTCATCATCCAATCCGGGGGGAGAGATGAAGGCAGATGGTTGAGACTCTTCGGAAGAATATGACCCAGCTGTTTCATTTGATTTTGAATTATGTGATGGCATGAAACCCTCGACAATCCATGCGAATGTATCTGACGTAGTCGTGGAGATGCTGTCCTCTCTCTGGAAAATGGTATCGAAGTACAATATCCCAAGTGTTTTGTTCTCTGATTCGAGGGCATTGGCACAAGATTTGAAGTCATTGAGAAGTTTCGCAAGATCTCTCAACTTATCGTCCACCGGTCCAAATTTGTCGATCTGGTGTATTATGGACGGATCGTGGGTTGTCGTGTTGGATGCTCCGGTCACTTCATCTCGGCGAAGTTCATCATCAGAGTGGAAGTGTGTCTGAATGTAGTCTCGGTCTCCTGGAACCTGATTGTTCATTGACGGTCTCAAATCGGGTCTTCGCATAATCTCGAGCACTTCGGAAAGTTGAAAGTGCAGAGCAACCAACTTGGCAGCGTGCTCGTTTTCGAACCGAGTGCTGTCATCTCGTATGCGTTCAAGCTGGATCTTGATTGGCGATTGTTCTCGGCTGCGCAACGTTTAGTCACTAACCTGTATGGCTGGACCCCTGAGCACACTTACTAAATGTTGAGGGAAACATGGAGGATGATCTGTTGCCGGTATTGTTCCAGTCTCTTCTCGATGGAAGCAATATCTTTCTGTTTTCGCGCGCTGGCGATCGCGGCCTTAAAACTCTCAAATACCTTCTGTTCACGCCTTTCTAGCCCTGAAAGAAGCTTCAAAAGATCGGTTGATAAGGCCCGACACTTCTCTGACAACTTTGATAGCTCGGCATCCTGTGACATGGAAACTGTTCCCAAATTGGTCACAGCCTTTTCCAGGTCGGTGATGACATTGCTGACATGTATGTTTTCGGCTGTAGCACCTGTCGCGGACTCGTAAATCTCGTAAGTTCCCTTAGCTATCTTGTACGACACGTCGAGGAACGTCAGTATACTAGAAGCTAAGCCGGCGGCCTCCATGGTGCGAGTAGCTGGCGACGCAGTGAGTGGACCCGGAAAGAAAATTTTGTACTTCTCGACAACCAAACATTTGAGAATAAACAGATGGAAAGTGAGGGTTTTCTGTTGCCGCGGACAGCATGTAGGCAGCCGAGTCTTTGCAATTTCTTCTCATGAAAGGCAAATCATTGGCCATTGCCTTTGCCCATGGGTCAACTCGAAGCAATTCTATCTGCTGGTATCCGTGTGACATGGGCTTCGTGGAATGTGTGCGAGTCTGGCGGCGCAGGGATCTGACCTATCCTATTGGGCATACGTGAGGAACCTGGGCCTTTGGCTGTATGATGGCTCAACCCACTGAGGATCCGTCGTTCCAGTCAGCGACCATATCTCGACGTTATTTTTGAGTGTACATAGGCTTTCAGTTCTCAGATCGCATGTCGAGGTCAATGCATTCTTTGAATGAGTTACTTGTGCTGAAGCGCATCAGCAAAATGATCAGGTTGATACCTTCGCCACTGCTTCGGCATATTTGCTTAGCACGAACACACTCTTACTACATGTACATACGGCCTCAGTATTTCGAGCTCGTAGAATTGAGAATCGTGCCTTGATGCCTACGGTTACCTCAACTCATTCAAAGTCTCTTGGGGGGCTGTAACGTTATTGAGCTGATGACGGTATCGACACTGGCTTGATAATTTCCCCGTGGATTGGTACCAAGCTGATCGATTATCAAGGTACGTTTTTCATTCCAAGAAATATTACAGTTGAATTCGACGGAAAATGCCACGGTGTGCCATGATGATGTGACTGCTGACATCAAGTACTTCTGCATGGCAGAAAGGCTACGTGCTGCTTACTATTCCGTGGAACTCCGGATTATGAGAACCTCATCTCCTCACAGTCGTAGAGAACACACCACGGTATAAGCCGGTAAAGCTACAAACAACGACTAAGAACTTGAAGGGAGCTTCAGGCATGGTCAATGGAAACAGAGCAAATATAAAACGAAAGCATGACCCTCAGTTGCCTATAGCCTTCACTCCAAGCACCATTTCATGTTCCTTTACTAAACACCAATACCTTCTTTCTATTGAACATAACAGTGACACAAGAATTGGAAAGACAAACCATTATCCAAAAAGAATGTCGCAAGATCGATCCCAAGCCTGGAGAATCCGGAATCACGCCCAAGGGGTTTGCACTGATGAGGGTATCGATCAAAACCTTTCGCTCGAGGAAGTGCCTAAGCCCAGTCCGAAGGAAGGCCAGGTTCTTGTCCGAATCCACGCTACCTCTCTCAACTACCGAGACCTTTTGGTTGTGACTTCGGACCCCGTATACCTTGGCGGAGGTCCCGATGATGGCATAATCCCACTCGGCGATGGTGCTGGTGTCGTCGTCGAAGTCAATTCGCCAACATCGAGATGGAAAACCGGCGACAAGGTCATCAACGCTACCAACTCATCTTGGGAAAGCCGGCCAGACTCAGGCCGTCTTTGACATTAAGGTCGGTCTGGGTGGAAAGAGCATCGACGGAGTTTTGCAGCAATATGCTGTCTTTGACGATGATGCACTGGCTCCCCTGCCCTCTCACTTGTCCTTTGAGGAAGCTGCAGCTCTTAGCGGCCCTTATGTGTCGGCTTGGAACGCGCTGTTCGGAGGCCCTCAGCAACTGAAGAAGAGAGACACTGTGGTAATTCAGGGTACTGGTGGTGTGAGTGTTGCTGGGATACAGGTAAGATGTGCTATGCAACATAATAGCATGCTTTCAACTTGGGCTTACGATTATTAGATCGCTGTCGCTGCCGGGGCTGATGTCATCGCCTTCTCAACGTCAGAGGAGAAACTCGATCTCCTTCGTAAACTTGGTGCTAAGCATGTCATCAGTTACAAAAACATGCTCAACTGGAGCCGGGAGGTTCTCGACTTGACTGGTGGCCGTGGTGCTGACCAAGTCCTTGACGTTGTTGGTGCTTCAACCATTGTAGAGTCATTGCGTGCGCTACGACAGGATGGCCTGGTATCGGCCATTGGGTTCATGTCTGCCTCTGAGAAACACGATCTAATTCCAGAGCTCATTTTTGGTGCCAAGACAAGTAAGATAATCTCTAACCCCCAGCTTCCGTGTCTAACATATTTTTCCAGTTCGAGGCTTGATGTACGGCAGCCTGGGTATGCTTCAGGATCTGAGTGCCTTTGTTGAGAAACACGAGATCAGACCAATCATTGCTGAAGCTTATGAGTGGAAAGATGCCAAACTGGCTTATAAAGCCATGCTTGCCCAAGAGTTTGTTGGGAAGATTGTGATCAAGGTCGAGTAATGGTATCCACATGTACTCTACGACAGGCCACGTCTATTTGCTTGGGTCTTTACTCCATTTTCCTTCTGTATGTATCTAATCAGATGGAAGCCGCCGGATATACTGGGAGACGTCAGATTGAACGTACTTCAAGGAACTAGATACCGAATGCGAACCGAATCAGGCGTGTCAACGAATATTGAGGTGCCCGTAGTGGTTTGCTCAAACTTCCTTCACCTCTCACGAGCCCTGCCACATGCAGCTAGTGCTTAGGCCAGCCACCGCACAAAGGTCATGCCTGGAATGCACTCAGTGTCAGCCCACGGAAGAAGAATGCCGGCAGGATCTCGATAACAGCTCAATGACGTAGTAGATTTACAACGTATTCCGTCTGTTACTTAGACAGATCTAAGACGCCATCACCCATCATCCCTTTAAAGGCCTTGGCAATCCCAGGCTTGGCATTCGTGTTTATAGAGTAGTAGTCGGATTCTCATTAATCATCTCATTATGGCGCCTCTTAACATCTTGATCATAGGCTGCAGCATTGCCGGGCCAACACTAGCCACATTCTTGCTGATGTCGCCGGTGCCTGCGTCTGAGAAGCCGCGCATCACCATCTTGGAGAGAGCGTCCGTTTTTCGCCCTCAAGGCCAAAACATCGACATTCGAGGCGCTGGGGTAACCATCATCCGCAAGCTCGGACTCGAACCAGCTATCCGGGCAGCTACCACTGGCGAAGAAGGAGTGCAGTTGGTCGACAAGGAGAATCGAGTTTGGGCAGCTTTTGGGGCGGATAAGAGCGGAAAGACGCAAACACCAACAAGTGATATCGAAATTCTGAGAGGACGCTTGGCACAGTTGCTACTCGAACAGAGCCAAAAGGTCAACGGTGAAGTTCAGGCTGACGGCGGTGCCGGAATTGAGTATATCTTTGGCGATTCTCTCGATGACCTTGAGCAGGATGGAGACAAGGTACACGTCCACTTCACCAAGAGCGGTGAGAGACGAACTTTTGACCTAGTAGTTGGAGCAGATGGTGTGCAAAGTCGAACACGCATTCTGACTTGGGGTGAGGCTGGCGAGGAAGACAGGAGAAGAAGGCTCGGGATGTATGGAGGCTTCTTCAGTATGCCTCGTGGTCCGACTGACTCGGCATGGCGTCGCTGGTTCCATGCGCCCGGTCGACGTGGCATCATGATTCGACCATCTGGTGTGGAAGATAGGACAACGGTCTTCATGGCCGTTGTCAACGAGAAAGATGAGCGGCTAAAGGCTGTCGCAGAGCGAAAAGGCGGAAGTACGGATGCTCAGAAAGCCATCCTTCAAGAGTATTTCTGGGGGCTTGGTTGGGAAACTGATCGCGTTATCAAGGAGATGATCGCCACGGACGACTTCTACTACGACACTATCTGTCAGATCAAGATGGACAAGTGGAGCAAAGGAAGGGTTGTTCTCCTGGGTGATGCTGGGTATTGCGCTTCTCCTCTATCTGGGATGGGAACGACTTTGGCAATGAGCGGCGCTTACAACCTAGCGGGCGCGATTCTACGACATCCGAATAACCTCGAGACTGCCTTTGGCGACTATGAAGAGAAGATGCGTCCTACTGTTGCTCGCGCGCAAAAGCTGGCACCCGGTATGCCTCACTCGCTCCATCCCGAGACGGTCTGGGGAGTTTGGCTGTTGAACACGGTCATGTTTGTTCTCTACTGGTCAGGGCTGTTTTCCTTTGTCGCGAGATTCGCTGGACCACCGGCGAACAATGTCCCAATCGAAGAATATGGGTTCAAGTCACTGCCCATTTATCAAGACTATTAGAGCCGTCGGGAGATCGACATAAGTGTACGGTAGATCCACCGCTCATTCCTTAGAAAAGCCCTGCTAAGGTACTTTGAAAGATTGGGGAAAAAAACAACCTTATGAATGTAGGCTTGACATCGATCGGTCGACGATCAATGTAAGAATGCGTTACTCAATGAGTTCCCCCCCGAGGCAAGAAACCTGTTTGAAGTATCATAGCAGTTTTTCCACGCTGGTTTGTTTGACGAGTCAATCGTCTTCCGAATGGATTCACATGCGCTGAGCATTATGCTCCAACAATTGATCGTGATGTATCCACCCGAGGCTTAATTCTGAATTTTTCGATAGCGAGGAACTTAGACCGCAACGTTAGGGTATAGCCGCATGATCCTGATCGACCGCGAAATACAGCGCGCCACGCAGCGAAAGCCTATGTAGCGGAGCTTTGACTAAAGAACTAAAGATTCTGAACTAGTTTGCTCGGACGAAAGCTTCAAAGCGCCTATTGACAGCGTATAAATAGACTTCAGACCCATTACTTACCACATTGGGGCATTGTATCCAGCCGACAGCCCGCGGGCTTGGCCGGGTCGCGCGGCCCCCGAAACGGCGCGCGAGGAAAGAAATAACGATAAGAAACGAAACATGTGCAAATGCTTCCTAGTTAGGTGAAGGCGCATTGTCAGCAAGTTTCTCATATTTCGGGACCCGACCTCGCCTCTGCCGACAACAAATTCAAGTTCTCACAACCTTTGTTGTACACTCATCGGCTCCCGCGTCGTCCGCTTGCACACCGAGGACTCGCCTACGAGATCGACGAGTAGTAGCCCCCAAAGGACCCTTGCTACAGGCATATCGCTTAGCGGAGGGAGAGACATGGACGACGGTCAGCTAGACGCCAGCGGCCATGAGGATGGGCCTGATGATGCGCCAGAAGAAGCGCCTGAGCCGTCCTCGGCGAATCCTCAGATTGCTATTCGCAGGGCCGTAAGTGATGAAAATGACCTCTGAAGACCATATTGAACTGACTGGAGTAATTAGTGTGACGCTTGCCGTGCTCGCAAGGTGAGTGAGTTTGCTTGTTGAGAGCCATTTACACCGTTTACTTGTACCCACCGCCCAGAGTTGGCGACGATGCGGCTTCGCAGCTGTTCAACCTTGGCGCAATGGTTTTCTCAACGAAGCAAACACTGACCTGGGTATAGATCCGCTGCAATAGAGAATCGCCTTGTTCTTATTGCACGCACGCCAAGATCGAGTGTACACATGCCGACAACAAGCCCAAGGAGAAACGGACCAGAATTCTCATCACCCCACAATAGTAAGCATGCATAGCACCGAACGCAGTGTCCGCCTTTTAATCAGCCCATCACGATGTGCTATGGCTACACTAGGTCGAAGTTTCAACTAGCTTGTTGTGCAGTCTCAACTAACATGTTGACTTAGTGAACGCAAAATTGATCAGATTGACCGTCGGCTCGAGACGGTCATCCGGCTCCTGCAGGACATGCAAGTCAATCCATCTTCTCATAGTAATACAAGTCGAGCCGAGCTACTCAATTTCGCAATGGCCACAACAGCCACTCCACAAGTCGAAGGCCCACCATGCTCAGCTCAACGCGTCTCATCTACTTCAACGCCTGCCACCACGGCAAGTCACACCCTACAATCAGACGAAGGCGAAGGCGGCATTGTGGAGGGAGATTCTTCCCTCGCAGCACATTCTGTGTTTGCTACCGAGTTTTTGCAAAAGGTTGTGAGCACAGAGTCACTGCAGGACTCGAGTTTGGATCTTGGCGAGACTCTGGATGCGCTGTCACAAATCGTCAATGCCTTGAAGCAACCAGCTGCCGCGGGGGAGATGACATATCCTCACGCGAAGCCGTTTAGTCGGGTTCGTGCCCAGGGAATTGAGTTACCACCTATAGAAAAGGCTGTGCACACTATCAGAATCGCAAAGAGTAAGCACGGTAGAAAAGACCTGTGAAGGCTCAGTTCTCTCGCTAACCAGACGATGTTCTCCTAGGTCAACGCCTCACGGGCATGGCTTGGATATACGACTTTCTGCCTTCCCGTCGTTTCCCGGATCTTTGCCTGAATGTCTACTTTTCAGACAACTACTCGGAATATGATTACATCACTGTGAACGGAGGCCTCTATTCGCTGTTCACAGACTACGCCGCGCAAGTATCAGTTGATGAACAAAAAGAGTACTTTGAATACGCCAAGTAAGTACGAGTGATGAAAACTTCGCCCGAAAGTCGACATCGAATTGACTGCTCGTAGAATTTGTCGCGTAAATCTGGAAACGTGTTTAGCGAATCTTCCGCTCCATCTGCCGGCATCTTCTGATGTGATTGTCGCGCTTCTTTTCGGAGTAAGTCTCCCTTTCCATATCAGAGAGTGATTGATTGGAGCTTACTCTCTGGAAGACTTTCCATGCTGTTGAAATCTCAAAACCTACGCTCGCTTGGACACTATCCTCCAAAGCATCAGAATTATGTCAAACACTTGGATATCATCGAGCAGAATCTCTCAAGAACACGAAAGATGATGGCAAGCCCACTGTTCATGGGATGCACTGGCATCAATTTCTCTTCTGGAACGTCTACTACATCGACAAGAGTCTTTCGCTTCGCCTAGGCAGAGCATCGACAATTCCTGACTGGCACATCACCATGCCTCTACCATCACTGAAAGAGCCGGTCGCAAGTCCGATTTTACCATACTTGGTATTGTGGATTCGAACAGCGAAGTGCCAGGGTCAGATTTATGAGCTGCTTTACAGCCCCGACTCGATGATCCAACCGTATCACGTTCGCCAGACGCGGGTGCATGAACTAGTTTCCCTTCTCCACGATATCGATCAGAAGACGCAAGAAACCACTGTAAGTCGAGGTAACATTTGTAACATGGGTAATTTGACTGACGAGAGACAGGCAAATTATCAGGCATTTGCTAAAGACGGAGTGGAAGAGCACTTTGCCGAGTTTTACCTGTCTTCAGATTACGTTCTTCGGCTTTCACTTCTTACTCTGGTGTACCGGGCTGCCCCAAGAGTTGAAGGATCGCCAACAACATTCAGTCCCGAATGCATCAAGGCTGCAAGAGCAGCACTGGAAAAGCATCAAGAATGTGTTGCCATCATGCGCAAGTCTCATGATGTTTACTTTGCAACCTACATTCACTGGTTAGTCAAACCAGCAATTACATGTTGTACCGCCTTTTTAACACGACGTTTTTTCCATACAGGACCGTGCTTTTTGCACCATTCATTCCCTTCATCGTTCTTTTCTGTCAGGTAATCGAGACCCAAGACAATGAAGACTTGGCACGGCTGCATTCTTTCGTGGTGTTCTTGCAAGAGACATCAAAAATGTCCGACGCAGCAGCAAAGATGTGTCGCCTGTTCCAGGTCTTGTACAGCGTCGCTCTTCGCTTCGTTGAATTTCGCGCGTCAACTCCTCAGTCGCGACAGACGCAGGCCAGCGCCGAGATGGACGCTTACTTAGCAGCCTTGGGATTCCCGCCAAAAGGGGCTGAAGGAGGTCAGCATCCGCAGCAACAGCAACCCACCGCGTTCGCCCAGATCACAAGCACCGCGCCAGATGTGGTCCCTACGTCTGGTATCGCGGGCGTAGGGATTGATGCTATGGACGAGAGCTTGAGACCCGGGAACCCGATGATGTGGATGACGAATGCCGCTCAGTTGGAGGACTTCTTCTACACAAATACGGCGATGATGGACCTACTACAAGAACCCGGATTCGAAGCAACTCAGCAGCAATAGAAGTTCGAACCGCACCGGATGAGTAATTCGAGGGCTGTTTGACGTGACTATGATCAATACCACCTCGGAGACACGGGGTGGAACAGCCTTTACTCACATGGGTACGCGCAGAGAGAGAACGTAAGGTCGAGACATAGAAAAGGGGAAGAAAAGGGGACATAGTCATAGAAGACCATGATTGAGACTATCGGTCTGGTCGCATGTTGGGATACACACAACTTTTCGTGGAGAGACGTGGAGAGATCGTGTCACTTATAGGTCTCTCGGCTATGAGGGAGCAGCCAAGTCTCATTCAGCTGTAGAAGCCAAGTGAGCACGTGATTCTCCCTTCAATTCTAAATATTTCTTGCCTGAAGTGTTACTAGCTCAAACACCAATAACGCATCCTCATGCTCGGGCGATTTGTAGAACAGGGGTTCTCACAAACGCTGATCATCGCAAACGAGTATCCAACTCTAGAACCAAGCATTCAAGATTGGTTGATAAGATACCAAGAGTACATCAAAGAAAAGCATACGCGGGACCTAAAGGTTTCAAATCTGGGGCGTCTCAAAGATTGTCTCGAAGAGCCCAGGCGTAAGATTTACAAAATCGTGTAGCTATCTCAACGCTCTTCTCTCATGCTAGTACTTACTCGATCCTTCACGAAGAGATAGGGTTTAGGAGACCACTAACGTATGGGGGAAAGCGACTTTGCTGGTATTTCATCTTGTTCCATAATCTCGTCCGTATTTCGAACTTGTAATTAAACAATAAGCAGGGGATATCTCGATACACAATCAGTAGATTGTGATCGATGTCTCGGGCTTTGCAGCTGCCCATACGTTTCGATACCAGATCTGCCTTTCATCCCAATCATCGCAAATTACCTCCAATAGCCCTACTCTAATGTAAGAACTCGTCGTATCTTTGGCAACAATCAGAAAAGAATCTCGCGTGCCTTTTGTTCGTGCATTTCTGCTGCCCAAACCGTATCCTTTGATGTAGATCAACTCAGCAGGAAGAAAAGTGCAATGCCTACACAATTCTGTAAATTCCTCAGGCCGGCTGTTGCGTATGAAGCAGCGATTCATTCGTTCGACTGAAGGATCAACCCATACCTCCGATTCCGCGGACCCAAACTCCAGTGGTGCCTCACCAGTCACTGGCGCACACTCTTCCCGAAACTCCCGCTTGTCTTCCCGAGCATAAAGTAGATACCTGCCGTATATCCAATCTGTCCAACGTCGCTTCCGATCCCAGTGTGAGCACGGTCGCTGTATCATGATAGTCAGACGCTTTGTCACTGCCGTTAGGAAGCCAAAGGACACCGAGCCATAGAGATCGGCCCCAGCTGACGAGCAGCTTATCTGGGCTGTTTCCATAATCCCGGGAGTCTTGCAATCTAATATCTCAGCATTTTAAAACGTAGGATAACCTACTTTGCAACCACTTCCTGTGGAAGCCCAAGACCAAGTCGGGGCGATCCATCCTCGTTTCAGTATCTTCAAGCGTTGCTTCTTCCAATCCGCCACGGTAACAACACGCCACATGAGGTCTTGTTCAAGATTCTTCTTCCACATACCAGCCAGATAGGTATCGTTTGTTACTTCAGCAGTCTCGTGGGCAAGGCCTGACAGTGCCGGAAGCATATCTCCAGTGAACGTAAGATTCAGGCAGGTGTACTCGCCGATAAGACGGTGCCATCTCTCGTAAGGATCGATTTTACCATTCTTGGTGGGGATGGCGGTGATTGAAGTTGTCATCGGGTTATTCAGCAGTGCCAGGTACTTCGACCGAGATCGCAGTGGTATGTATGTGCCGGAAAGTCGAATCAGATTGTGCCAGTTGTGGTGTTGCTCTCCTCCGCATTCGCAGGAGTACCCGCTAGCACAGTCGAATGCCATTTCTCCATAGTTGCAATGGATGATCCGCCGCGAAAGAAGTCGTTCTTGGAGACACCAAGCCCTATTGAAAAGGGGAAGATACTCTTGTACCCTAGCGTATTCTGACATCTCGTCTCGCTTTTCGCCTGTTATCAAGGCGACTCTGAATTCGTCACCACCTCCGGTGGTGATCTGAAAGAACTGACTTGGGATTGTCTGCGAGTAACAACCTCCCTGAGAGTCATGAGACCAGCTTACGGAAATGGTCGCGTATGAGTTGCGGTATACGTCGACCATCTGAGCTGCCTCTTTCTCCCAGTCTTTCTTGTCATCTTGTATGATGCAAAGGGAGTCAATCCAGAGATAGCGAATCCCAAGTATCCTCGTGATGTCGACTGCTTGTTGGAAACTGGGTGGAAGTAAAGACCAAGGTATCAGATTGAGTCGCCTTTTCAAACTGTCTCTTTCTGTCTTGGACTTGATCTTGATCTTTCCCCAGCAGTGGCTTAAACACATGTATGTGCCTGTTTGTCCAGATGTATCTACCAGGCGGACTCCAAGCCTACCCCTGGGCTGAGTCACATCGATGAGTCTGGTAGGTAATTTCATATCTTCTCCTGTGCCACATTTCTTGTGTAGCTCGCAGTCATTGATCCATGTCCGGATTCTCTGGAAGCTTATTTCAGAAGAGGTATCGCCAGCCACGCCGTTGGTGGTTTGTATTCGGCGGAAGACATTGCTGGACCCCGCCACGTTGAAGAGTCTGGCATAGTACACTTTGCCGTCGGAAGCGTCCATTTCTAGGGTACCATTGAATTTGCCAATCCACCGGAATGCCGTAGATGAAGCAATTGCTCCAAAATTTCTTGTAAGGGCGATGTTGAGGATACTCTTCAGAGCCTTGCAACTCCCACAGCCATTCTGGGCTGAGTGGTCCAAGTCTCCATACGTGAAAGACTTTCCTCGAGCAGCTTTCGTCTTCCCGTTTGTGGTGAAGTTGTCATTTCCTGCTCTCAACTTTTCAGTGTCCGCTCGGGACAGTGTGCTCCATGAGCTGAAAATGGCGCACTGCAGTAAGCACCCCGTTGTTCCGAGTACGTCAAAGAAGTCAAAAAATCTGGGTTTCTTACTTCCCTTAGAGTGGTTTTCCAGGGCGTGCTCTAGGGAAATCGGTACTATCTGGACAGCCATCCTATCTAGGTATTGGGTTCGTGTTGATGCTTCTTGAGAAAGCCAGCCCAGAAAATTTGAAGGTGGCCGGAAAATCAAATCTGAAAATAAACCTAGCCCGTTACACTGCCAAGCCTGCAATCTTTTCAAGCCATTTGCGTATGCAAAGCTCCGATTCTGAAACCGAAATAAGCGCTAAAAGCCAGGCATCCAGTGATAACTCCCAAATCACCTCAGCTGGGAGGCACTGCGCCTCACCGAGATTCTATGTCGCCTCTAATTGGAGCAATGCTGCCTGATCTCTCCGACTCAAGGCTCCCGTTGTATGCAGAAACACAAAACTCAAAGTTCCAGGCGCCTGGAATCAGAAACGTGATACCGTACTCCGCAGAATCAGTTTCTCCGTCTTCTACGAAGTCCGATTTCTCGACTAGGTTCCGCACCCATATACGATATCCTGCTGCACCCTTCGACTCTTCCCACTTCAGGTGCACGGTGGTGGGATTCTGAACCTCAATTTGGAGCTGAGTCGGAGTCGGCGGTTTGCCATTGCCAGCAATGAAGCTCCGGCCACCCGCCGGAATACCACCTCCACAGTCTGTCCAGGTACTGATCGCCAAACCATACCGATGGCCTGTCGATAGGTCGGTGAAGGTCGTGTCATTTTCTCTCACCGCAACAGTAGCGGGGAAAGATCCTGGTAATGACAGATCTACGAGGATTAGTTCGTATCGATCCACTTCGGCTTGCCCTTGAGGCTTTTCCCATTCGACAAGGACCTGATACAGGTCAGGTTTGGTGATGATATTCCCAGGTCCCGGAGCTGTTTTCGGGTGAGCAATCGTTGAGGCTGTAGTAGACCAGGAGGACCTGAGACTCTCTCCATTAAAGGTCCGAACTTGGTACTGATACTCCTGCCCTTCTTGGGTCCACGTCGAGTTGTACTGGGCTACATCTGCTCTCGACTCATTCCACGGCAGGTTGTCATGATTGCGAATTCTGACATCATAGCCGATAGCGCCGTATACTGGGTCCCATTTAACGGAAACTCCGTAAGAAACTGCTTCCGCAACAATGTTCGCCGGCACTGGCGTCGGTCTTTGTGGGATTCCCTGCGGAATAGTGAGGGCTTTGATCCCAATGTGGAACTTTTGGGACAAAGTCTGAGAGAAGGCTCTTGCAATCTGAAATTCGCCCAAAGAATTTGGATGTAATCCATCGTAGCTTTCTTGATGACAATGGTATCCTCGCCGGACTCCCACCAACTCGACCGGAGACTCAAAGGCAGCCCATTTTGACACTGATGTTCGTAGAAGCTGGTTGTACTCTTCTATCATACCAGGAAGCCTCTCTGCCCCATCAATTGGCGTCCGCATCGGGACGTCAGCGAGAGCAAATTTGACATCTGGTTTTGCAGTGCGTGCATTATCCACGAGTGTCTTCATGGCACTAAGAGTGTTTTCAGCATCCGCAACACCCCAGCCCATGTCGTTGAAGCCGAGCATAACAAGCAGGTAGTCAGGCCTGAATCGTGCCACCTGCTCCTTGATGAGGTCTTTGCACTGCGTTGCCTGCCGGCCCCAGACTGAAAAGTGGTGAGAGTTGAATTGCACGCCTGCAGCATAGCCGCCATGGTCTATTGGCACGTCAGGTGCTGGCAGCGAGTCGTCTTTTAGAGGGGGAGGCTGTGGTGGGCGAGGTTGATCTGGAGTCTTTGTTCCCTCATAGGGACCAACGAATTCGACGTTGATGTTCTCTTCTTTGAGCCACTGCCATAGCCTGTATCGCCATGTAAAGTCCCCTTCACGGCCGTGGGACATGGAGTCGCCGACTACCATGATCCGAATTGGCCGGACGCTCTCTTGAATTATATCACCCATTTGAAGGCTGCAATTGGGACTTCAAGTCGGTCGGTGTGAGGTGGGAACCGTTCTTCGTCTGTTGGTGTCATCGATAAAGTCTCATTTTGTCTTTTTGGCTCAAATGTCAAAGGTAACGTTGTAAGATGCAGACCGCGGCACTGAGGAGAAGCCTTGATGTCGTCATAGCACTAAGGCCGATATCAGCGAATCGCATTCAGGTGCCATTCGAATGAGAAGCATTTGCTCAACGGTCCTCGGCTTCTCGACCAATGTGGAGATCAATCTACCACTTAAGTTGTCTCTAGACCCAGCAAAGACGAGTTCGAAGTATTTAGCGTGCCTGACTTTCTAGCACGTTGACCCTTGCGCACAACAGTTGAGCAGGGTAGGCCCGGGCACATCTGGCTGACAATGGCTCTGGATGTGGGGTTTCTACGGACAGAGAATCTGCATCTCACCGACCTTACTCGTTTAGGGCAGGACCACAACGTACCCTAGCTTCATATTGCAAATTTCTTTGAATAAAAGTATCAATATCCGATATGGTGTAGTGGCCAACATGATGCCCTCTCATCTCTTTGAGAGGTTAGGCATAGCCCCGAGTTCGATTCTCGGTTTCGGAAACCTTTTGTTTTTGCAGTGATCAGTCATATCTTGAAGCAAGAAAGAGCCAGAAGGGGTGGTTGGTTGGCTTTCTCTACATTCACAATTTCTAGACCCCGGCGTATCATGAACTTTGGTTGAGAGCTCAAGGTTGGTCTTCGCATTGTTAAATCGATACTCCTGACTCCCTCATGTCTCCCAGCACGTTCTTTGCCACAGTTTAGCTAAAACACAAATCCGCCAATTCTGCTTTGCCTCTTGCAGTCATTAACAGATGCCTTGCTTTTGCTTTCGTACGAAAATTCCTCCTCATTTCCCTACTCCTTAGAGATAATGTGCGGGTTTGTCGGCGGGCCGTATGCATCAACAACCGTATCCTTTTTGGAGATGATGTGAGGATTCGTAGGAGGTCCGTAAGCTTCGACCGCGTCTCTCTTGGTGTCAACAGCGGGAATATGTGGGTTCAGAGGAGGTCCGTAAGCTTCAACAACTGCCTTCTTTGAGATGATGTGAGGGTTGGTAGGAGGACCGTAAGCCTCGACGGCATCTTTCTTCGAGATGATATGAGGGTTGACGGGAGGACCATAGGCTTCAACCGTATTTTCTCTCTTGGACTCAACGGCCGGGATGTGAGGGTTGAGAGGGGGGCCGTACGCCTCAACGACAACCGGCGCGGCGTAAGCCAACGAAGCGCAAGCGGCGACAGCAGTAAAAAGATTTTGGACACGCATTTTGACGTATAGTGAGAAGGACTATGATGATATTGAGTTCCAAAGCAACAGGACTGATTTTGGGCGCAGTGAACTGATGGTGGTACGGCTTTCAATCGAGATAGAAGCAATGTTTTATGTCTTTCTCAATTTCTAGTCCCCCTCTCTGGCCCTCTCTTCCGGCTCGTCCGTATTACCACTCACAATATGAAAGTCGTAAGCACTCCTTGCGTTGGCAAGATGCAGCACGAGGCACAGTACGCCCGCGGAACAAAATTGTGAGAAATCTGGAATAGACGCCGCCGACGTGACAGTCAACGATCCTTCGTTCCGTTCCTTCGGCTCGATTTCACATCTCTCATACCAAACACGGCATGCGTAAAGCTCACATGAAGTGGTGAAGCCATTCGATCCTGGCTAGACTCACTTCTCTTTCTCCTGACTGGCCGGCCGTAGTTGAACAGGGGATGAATCTTCTAGCCACATGGAGAAGGTAAGTGCACATCCCACAATGCCAAGCATTGCACAGTCCATGGTTACCGAAAAATCTGGGCAGTTAACAGAGAATTGGTATACATCGTCAGTCAATCAAGCATCTGCGCCGAAGGAACAGCGCGTCTTTGAACTAGCGCCACCTTTATTCACCCTGGTACCGGCCCTTGCCGCCATAGGATCAGTTACTGGGGTTCCAGAGGATCGTTATCTCTTCGTTCGCCCCTCCGCCCCTCACTTCGACACAATTTGCAATTGCTTGCTCCTATGCGTCTCAATTCCACCAGACAGAATCGAGAGATCAATCCGATTTCTTTGCCCGAGTTTCGAGCTAATCTTCCCTTTGCTTGCAAGCCGAGTGCTTGCCCCCTCAGTATCGCGGAATGGATCCCATTTTGTACTCAATCGTCATATTCTTGGCAATCCTTCTCATTCTTGGCGAATCCTTCAACCATCCTTGTGCATTACTTGAATTCGAGACCGCCGTATCATATTGGAAAGTGAGGTTGGCGCCTGGCAATGTGAACCAGGTTTGCAAGTGAGGCTTAACAGTATTTGGCAGGTGATACCATCGCAACTGACGATTGCAAGTGATCACGGCATCATCGGCAGAATCCTTCTTTTCGCTATCGGTGGTCAGAATTCCGAGATTCCCGATTGACTGTCGATATCACCCTGTTGGAAAGCAATGTACAAGTCTCTGAGTAGGGAGTATCTTGGAGCTGAAACCTGCCTCCGGCATCAACTGCTTCTTTGTCAAAAATGAAGGAGATCTACCAGAGTGTCCCGGAACAAGACTCAACAGACGATTTGTCCAATAGTGTAAGTTCATCATCAGAGGAAGCTTGCGTCCTCAGAGAGCTAGGTAACGGCTCACTGACAAACCCCAGTCAACATGGCATAAGTCGCGACAAATCCGCGGGCAATGGAGCCTTCAGTCGAAGGTCATTGCTGCGATCAATGTCATATTCTTCTTCACATCGTGTGGGATCCTCTTCATTTCATGGAGATGGCTGAATGACCCTGTCCGTCTGATGAAGCGCGTTTCGCCCTATAGTATGACGTTCATCTCTTACCAGAATCTGGCTTCATTCCGGCTAAACATCACAGGTCCAATTCTCGACGATGTTCCCATCCAGCTAGAATCGGTCGAAGTCAAAGGAACATTGTTCAATGATTACACACCTCCACGCATATGGCGCGAGCAACCCAGTGAAAAGGTCGACAAAGCTTGGGAAGACATGGCCCGGATCGAGTACTTCGGCGTAAGCGGCGACGCACTCAGGAAAATGGGCAAAGACCCTAAAATCTCTGTCTCTATACCGGAAGAGTGGGGTGTTGGATCGGACAAGTACCTCGTGGAGATCGATATGCAGCATCAACTTCACTGCCTCAATGCAGTTCGCAAGTATGCTTACTTTGATTACTACTACGGTACCAATTACAAGAACATGTAAGCTGTCTAGCAGGGCCACCGAGCGACGGCATGTGACCGTTGATTGACGATTGTACTAGCTCAATGGCGCCTCAACGGCACCAGGCACACCTGGCACATTGTGTGAGTCAGAAGCAAACACGGGATTGAGCAACCATTTCTGACACGTTCAATAGATAGATATCCTCTTACAAGCTCTCACTTGCAACCCGAGCTTGGACTTGATCTCCCATAATTGGATGAGGACACAAGAGAATCCCTATCCCGATTTCAACATCAAGAGGCAGTGTATGGCGCACGACCCAATCTTGAAGTGGCAACATGAAAATGGCATCTCAGAGCAGATTCTAAAGTACAAGAACCTACCAAGGCCGGAGGGGTTCCCAGAAGTGGAACCGGAACCCTCCATCTTGAAGATCGGAGAAGATTTGGGTCATCACGAAGGACATCTCAGTCTTTGAATTCAAGGCTTTCAATGCCTTGAGGAGACTTGCTTAATCATGCACATATAGATACACACAAGCGTTGGTGCGGCACATTCGTACATATCACCGGTGCGCTTCTCAGGTACTTGGAATACGTGAATTTGAATGCAGCAAAAATGGACTCCATAGAAATAACTCCCTAGGTAAACAAATCACCAAAACCCACAGACCGATCTGAAGGGGATTCTCTCTTCAGTTCGTTGTCTGAGACACGACTTGATCTGCATGATCTCCATGTGCCTTGAACTTCCAAGTATTGTGGAAACAACTCTCTGCACAACCCTCTTCGTGAGCTTGGTGAGGATCGTAATGCGCACGGTTCTTCTTCAAGCACGCCTCCTTCAAGTTGCCATGGTTGTTCTGTGGCTGATAGTTGTCATCATAATGGAGACGTCGGTGTAGAGACTCGTGCAAGATGGCGTTGCGAGGTATGTCTCGAGGACCGCCCTTGTTAAGTGGCCACTGGCAGAGTTTCCACTCTTTGGTCTTGTCATCGAGTTCCCATCTCTTAATGAGAGGGCAAATCTCTGCAGAAGGGAAATCATAACGTCAGTTGCCTGGTCAAGAAAAAGAGGAACCGGGGGTGAGATCACTTACCAAGGAGGTACCACATCAACGGCTTGATGTAGCCCATTCCGTTTCCAAGTCGAAGGAGGTCGTGGATCCATCCATTCAGGGCCTCGTTCTGGTTCGCCTCGTTCTGGTAGATGCTTTGCTTGAATCTGTCCAAGCGTCTTGGCCGCCACTTGAGCCCTGTTTCTTTATTCTTACTATTCGCCCTGTACTCCTCGTCTGCGAGTTCAAGCTCGCGGATCATCCAAGACAGAGGAATGTCGCTCAGCTGCATGTCCTCGCTATCATCGAGCTCCTCATCCTTCTGTCCCCTCCCAAAGAAGCTCAAAAACCTATTCCAAAGAGTTGGGGGTTTTAAGTAGTCGGGAATATCATCAGTTCGGAAGTCACCGTTTTTCAACTTTTCCTCCCTGATCTTTTGGAGCTCTCTATCTTTCCATGTCGGATCATCCTTGATTGCCGACCAACCGCCACCAACGTCGCCATGGTTTCCAGGGAACCACACCTCCTTGATGTCATCTTCAACATGGCGGTGCTTTTTTGTGGAAGGTTTGGTGATATCTTGCGCGAGAAGAGCAGGCTTGAACTTGACTCGGAACTCGTCCACAGCAACAGCATGGCGAACGTAGGTTGCGGTACCCTTCACCGAGGTCGGCTTGTCACCGACCTTCTCGAGGACTGCAACAGAGTTGACGCAGTCCCACATGCCGAGAAAGAAGACCTTGATATTTTCTTTTCCGTGGTCACTCTCTTCCTTGCGACAGAAGGTCTTGCTGAAGGCTTCCATCTCGTTCCTCTTGCCTCTCCTTCTCCAGCCCTTGGATTTCTTGATTGCGTCATTGGAGCTGCTGATTCCGCTGGGGAAAGCCTCATCAACAGGCGTGTCTGGTGGACTCGCAGGTGTTTCATAGGTATTGACGGTGGGAGCTTTCGCGTTTTTGGCAGCTTGGCCATTGGTCGCTTGGGCATCGGTAGGGTTGATCACAGCGCCCTTGCCGTCCTGGCCGCTCTTTTTAACCTTCGCTAGATGGTCCTGATAGAGTTTGTATGCAAAGGGTACCATCTCTTCGTTACCCTTGCAGAGAAGACCGACGGTGTTGACCATTCGACACAGGAATCTGGCGGTGAAGGCGCCACGACTGAAGCCGAAGATGTAGATTCTGTCTCCCTTGAGGTAATCGTCAGCACCATGATTTGTCAAGTATAGCATCAAACCTACAGTCTCGTAATAGCGCATGAGGAACCGATATCCAGCGATGACGTGGGAATCGAAAGTGGTGCCGAAGCCCATATCGATCTTCTGAGAAATATTGCTGCGGACCTCACTGGCCCAACTCTTGTTGACACTGGTGTCGTCGACGTCGTACGTTCCGATACCGGCTGTTTTAAATGGCTTGTCAGAGACTACTTCACTCAAATAAGTCTTCGGTATTGACTCTACTTACTCTGGTAGTAGTGGTATTGGTGCTTGTCATTGCGGTCAAGCATACGCAAGAGCTTCACGACATTCGTGTCAGAGCCGGAACCACTGAACGAGTTGCCTGTGCCATCGAAGCAGAGAACGAGCTTCCTGCTCTCCGTCGACGCTTCGGTCTCGACAGACGCCATGGTGATGCTTTTCTCCAAAGGATGGAATCGGAGGAATAATGCTGCGCAAAGCTTCGATTCTAGGATAAAGTATGATTCTTTGAAAGTCCCTTGGGGTTAAGATAGCCGAGCGAGGGCGTCCGCGTCAGCCATATATGCATTTTCGAAGCCACCAAAACCAAGTCAAGGAATTTAGTGTGAACACAGTTCTTGTCTTCTTCTCGATGTTGTTGCTTTCAACGAAAAACATCCAGTCGCAGACTGGAACGCTGCCAGAGTTCAGCCATAATTTCTCCGTTCCTTATTCCCCATCCTGAAAGCATTTGTGGATCTCAGCCCTGTACCACCGTCCCGGAGACTAAAATGTCTTTCCGACCCTACATGCCCACGACGGATCGTAAAGCAAATTGCGTTTTCAGAATCTGGTCTCTGCATGTGGGAAGATCTCTCGCTTCAACCTCAGCTGGCCACGCCATGGCTGCATCGGTAGTAAGGGTATATTCGCTCACGTGCCTTCGTACTTCAGCCTGGCGTTGAGACAAGGGATGTGAGACATGCCCGGGCTGTGAAACTTGGCTTATCTCAACTTAGTGAGCTGTCTCGCGCGGACTCTGTCGAATCATGAGAGTCTGATTGGAATTTCCTCTTTTCCCAAAGGGGTTACAAGAAGCAAATCACTCAGACAAGAAGGCGCGCCGGACCATCCCGTCGGCCGAGCCTTATGGGAAGTATGGCAAAAGAAACGTGATAGGTGTTGTTTCGAAGGGTGATTCAATTCTCTCTTAGCATTTGCCGTAAATGCCGGCTTGTGTTCACGCAAACTCTCACAGCTGTATCGGGGCCCAGTCTCTCAAGATCTCAGCAAGAACCGGGGCTGTCCTTAGCAGTTGCTGATCCCGGAACCTTGGACCTACGAGTGACACGCCCATAGGCATATCATCGGACCCCGAAAAGGCGGGAATGTTGACTACAGGCATATAGGAACCCTGTAAATTGTCCTCCAGGCGAGCCGGCGACAGATGCAAGGAAACACTAACCGTCCACATCGTGTTGAAGGTCGCGCGACCCATATCACCAAGCCCCACAGGAGCCTCGTTTTCTGCGCTAGGGGTGAGGATGTGTCACGTAATCAGCATACAGAACAGCACATGGGAATCGGTGCTTTAACTGTGGTCTAATCGAACTATAGAAAAAGGGTAAAAGGGAAGTACTCGTAAGAGCCCCTTTTATATACCCTACCCCTGTCTACCCCTGACTACCCTTGTCACCCCTGACTCGTGCTATATTACGTGACAGGATGACTGTGTACCCTCTGGCTAAGTGATGCTTTGTATGTGAGAATACCTGTCAGAAGCCTGAGCCCTCTCTTTATGCGTAATTCTGTCGTTGTTCTCGACTATCTCATGAAGCTCCGGAGCCAGATTGTCCTTGTCTATTCGGTATTCTCGAAGAAAGGAGACCCGTGCTTCAGCTTGAGTGATGACTTCCTGGAGTCTCTCGAGTTCCTTAGGATCCGACATTCCAGGTGGAAATGAGATCTCTTCAACCTTGATTCCTCTTTCTCGAAGGATCACTGCGGCCGCCTCGATGGCAGATATGGTGCCAGGTCCTGCCGTGGACCACATTGGGGTCTTCGACAGAGCAATTGACATTTCTTTCAGTAGAATATCCCTTGCGGGCTCATCATCTTCGATACCGAAAACATCAGTGGATTGCGACGGCAGCGCAATCAGAACTTGGCTGATACCCTCGGTAAATGGGAGAACCATGCTCAGTGGGCATATCTAAATGGCGTCAGTGATAGAATTCATCCCGGAGCTTATTACTACCCTCGGAATTCATAGTGTCCTTAATTCCAATGGCAAGCCCTTGTAGAGGTCCTCTCTGGCCGACAGGAACTTGATCATGAGTCTGAGCTTGAGCAATTACAAGCCCAGGGCCTAGGAAATATGAGAAGATTCTGCATCTCCCAAAACAACAAACCCCCCAAGAAACGCCCGTGCTTTTACGATGGTCTCAGTCTCTTTGACATGGTCTAGGAGCCCTCGCGCGTATATCTCTACCGTGACTGTGTCACTTTGGAGCAGCTCAATCACTTGGGTTGCCGTCAACCCGTGCGGTCTGGACGTCATTGTTACAGCGGGACAGAGATTAATACATTCAGAACACGACTGGAAATCAGGATGATCGTCGCGAGAGGAAGACGGCTGGTCAAGTAGTACAGTGAAGACTGGGGTTATCCGTGGAAAACGAATGGAGAAGAGGGGGAAACAACATGGCGGTGTAGAGACGGGACATTCACGGGGGCACGAAGTTTCTGTTTACAGATGTTTCTTCGAATCGGATGGGACATAGAGGAGCTAGGTAGGAATGTTGGGCGGCAAACATGTTGTCTGTCTCACAAATTCTCGCTCATCGAAAATACGCGACTTCATATTTAACCTGGGTATATGCTGTCTTGTGGAAGGCAACATCGACATCAAAGTAAAATGACAATGTTGGAGCTCTTGGAACAAAATTTATACGCATGAGTATTGAAATTGTTAGGAAAGTTATTAGGAAAGAAGGATGCAAATCTCAAAAGACAACATATCTCAATGACCGTTCTCCAACCTTGAAACCAAAGTGAAGCTGTTACAAGCTTCTAGGTGACGCTTCATGCACTCCTCCCGATTTTAACACAAATCAAATGATGCACTAAGCTCTCTCCGACTATCGTCTGCCTGCTGCAATGTGCGTCAAGTCATACAAAATGAATGTGATTCAACATCAGCCACAAGTATCGCATCGCAAGACGGCCGACAGCATTGCTCCCTTTCTCGGATGTCAAGTAGGAAGTCTCTCCTATTGAATGGCAGCAAAGACAACACCAGCAGCCGCAACGGCAACCATGACCATCCCCGTCTCCCGCGAGGCAGCGTTGGGCAAGCTGGTCGTAGCAGTAGCCGCCCCTCCGGTGCCAGTAGCCGCAGTACCGGCAGCAGTCGTAGTCGCAAGGACTGTAGTACCATCGAGAGCACGACTGAAATCCGCCACAGCAGAGCAAACCGGGCCATATTTCTCAGCAAGAGAAGTGATCTTGCCGACGAAGTCCTCGTCCTTGCAAGCGGACCAGACAGCGCCGAGCTCGCTGCTATGAGCGCTCGTCCAAGACTTCAGCCCAAAGGTGAACGAGGTCAAGATAGAGCCGGGCGCACCCGTGAGCGTGGGCAGCTCGCAGGCGTTCGTGATGGTTGGGATGTCGTCCTCGTCGACGCCTGTCGCGGACAACCTGGGAAGGTCCTTGGTGACGGAGCTGTGCTCATTCATGGCGTCGACGCATGCCAGGAGACCACGGTTCTCGAGGCCGGCTGCCATGGCACCGGATGTGGTGGCGAGAAGCAGAAGGGTGGTGTAGCGCATCTTGGATTTGGGTGTGTTTGGGTGTTGATGAAAGAGTTGTGGGTAGCTCAAGGCTTGAATATGAAAGGTTCTTATGGAAGTTCAGATACTGGAGTTTTCTAGATGAGAGGATGATGAACCAGATTTTCTCCTGAGTCCATGGGCATCTTCTCTCTATTTTATATTGAAAACACGAGTGGTCCTAGATTCACAGATACCAGTCTACGGCTTCGTATGCTAGCAGCTTGTGTGTTCTCCGACCTTACGCTCCGCCTCATTGTTTCAATATTTCACGTATATCCACTCTGAGAGCCATGCCGGGCGGAGCGAAACTGCAGATTCATCCCAGAAACAGCCAGACAAGTGAAGGCGAAATCCTTGCTTACACTCTCTCCTAGGACCTCCGATTCATGAGCACCACCACATTGGTCGAAAGAGTCCAGCCTCGCTGCCAGCTGTCCATAGGTCTTCTTCTTTAGGACTTATGAGCGGTGGATTCATGACAGCCTGCCTCTGTAGGATCCTACAGTGCCACAACGTACCCCCCGGCATACATCCATGAATAAATGTGAAGTCCACTTGTCCTATGCCGTCAGCCATACCGGCCTGGTTGTCGTGGCGGCGGCCCGAGTATTCCCTTCCGTAACGCATATCCGCACACAAAATGCTTTCTTCTGAACTCTTTGACGAGATGTACAAGATATCATTTATTGCCTTGAGCTATCCCGTGAGCCTTAATTGTCCAAATATGCCTCACCACTTACCACTCTTGTCATTCATGTGATGTTTCTATTCATAGTCAGCATGCAAGTGAAGTCTACCTATTGAGAGGGATGTATAGCTGTAGCTGCCTGACTCTCTCGGCGCCGAACCAAATTTGTCATCTGGACCTACATATTACATCTTTCTTATACATCCTCCAAAGCCTCTTTTCCCCCAACCAGCTGTTGCTCTGTGGTTGTACAAGCTGCCTAGCTGAAAGTGTCTACGCTTGTCAAGGCGCCACGGAAGCATTCACGAAGCAAATCCAAAGAAATGGACGCGTGGTCTTTGCATCTGGTGACGGGGTCTGAGTTTCCTTTGTAAGCTGCTGAATCCCTCGACGCCGATTCAAAACCGTCCTCATTCCGGAATACAGGTAGAGTCAGTTGCTGCTCACACTAGCAGTGCCATGTCCGCGACTGCATGTGTATACTTCTGCTGACATCTCCAAGTAGGCAGTGTTGATTTTCTTTTCGGGCTGATGAGACTTATCAGAGTGTTGAAACACCCACCATAGCCTGCTTCAAGTATCCGTCGGATCCTTCAGCCTAAGAAATTGTCCCCCAACATTGTGCTTCCAACGGGCATGCAACGTCTTTCTGTCCAGGACCAATAAGACGCGAAGCAGTCATAGCATATTGACCAGGGTACCAGCCCGAATGTTGCCGGTCCAATAAATGCAAAGTTCTTTTGTTCTAGACCAATAAGATAACGTGGTAACGTTGGATGCGGCTCGGCCATGGGGCCCGGCTCTCCCCCCGGATCCCAGCAACGTTATCTCGTACCGTCAGCAACTTACAAGCTCCCAACTCACCAGCCCTCTTCCTCTCTCAAACCTCTTGAATGCGCGGCTCTTCCCCCAATCATCCAAGTTCCTCACATTTTCTGCTTCAGCCCTACAGTGAATAATCTCCTATGTCTCCCACCACTGCGCATCGTAAAACCCCTCACGCAGAATCGAGTGTGACAATGTTTGCACCGGCGGCCGCCTCCGCCGCTCAATACGACAGCGATTTATTACTAGACGCTCAATCTGATACATTCGGTATCAGCCTAGTCAAGAGCCCGCCGTACGCCACGGAGGAGGTCTGGAGAGTCATGCAAGCCACTATTACCCGACTATACCAAAGCGAAGGTAAATCGTTGAAGGAGGTGAAAGCCATCATGGAACGAGACCACTTCTTCTTCGCCACGTGAGAGATACCCAACTCCCGACTAACACTATCTAAAACAATTTACTTCGTATACCGTTAAAATCCCTGAATCTTTGAATGGGCTAACAGTAGGTCACTCCCGTAGAGAAAGAATGTTCAAATCCCGCATCGTTCGCTGGGGCCTAGACAAGAAGGTCAAAGAGCCGGAGGTCCTGCACATGCTAGACCTTAAGCGAAGGCGCCAAGAGACTGGAAAGGACTCGCGCTTCAGCATCGAAGACCAGGACGTCGACTGGGATCGCGTGGAACAGTACCTCAAGCGCAGACCCGATCTACATGACGCTACCAAGCGAAAACACACCCCGAGCAAGAGTACCACCTTGAAGCGCAAAATCACCTGCAGGACACCGTCGCCGTCCCCAAGCCAAAGCCCAGTGCTACACGCCTCCTCTTCAGCATCCCCTACCATCATCACCCCCCTCCCCTCCCTCCTAACCCCTTCCCCGTCCCTAGACACAGACACCCAATCCTCCATCCTCCTCCTCTTCAGCACATACCACACCTCCGCCTTCCAAACCGGCACCTGGGTGCTCGACGACGCACACCTTTGCGAACACGACTTCATCCACGTCGTACAGACCCTCACAGACATAGGAATAGTCCCAGGCCTGCTTCAACGGAACCAGATCCCCACGGGTCTACGCACCCTCCGCCGCGCTCTCGCTTCCTTCCGGCACGTCCTCCTGATCCGAGAACCGCGGTTTTACTATTCCATGCTCGTGAATATCCTCACATTACAGGGGAATGTGCAGGTGTTGGAGTATTCCATCCGGTATATCCACGCCATCCACTGCGAGATCCTAGGCGAGAGGCACCCTTTGAGCGTGGTGTGGTCGAAACTCAGGGAACTTCCTCAGGAGATTCGTCTTGAGACGTTGAGGAGTGTGTTTGCTGTTATATGTCTGCAATTTGAGACCGAGGCTGTGTTCAATAGTGAACATGCCCTTGACGTTCTTATCATGCGCTGTTCCCTGCTCAGACTCCTCGGTAACGTGGACGGGGAGGAATTTCGCGCCGTTATTAGGGGCTACACCGCCGCTGCGACGGAGGCGCTAAGGCAAGACAACTACCAGCTCTCGTGCAGAATCTTGCTGGGCGTGGCGACTGCCCTGCTTGATGCTGGTGACATTGAACAAGCGGAGAGGACGTTGTGCCAGATTGGGTCCACGATCAGGATCCAATCTGAAGTGACTGCACATCATAAGAATACTACCACCGATAGAAAGCAGCAACAGGAGGATGAACAGGAAATACTCCAGACCCAGCAAGCTGACCGCTGCTATACGAGTTCACTATGCTCACACGCAACTCATCGCAGTCAAGGTGGAGTGGCCAACGAGACGAAGATCATATACGGGTATTATAAAGGGGTTTGGGAGCCGTGGAGCAAATGGTCTCCTGCAGTGGTGAAGAGGGTTCTTGATACGCATCGCCGAGCACGAGAAAGAGATGTATGGGCCGCCAGGCTGTGGGCTGACGTTTTGCTTTCTGTGAGGTGATGTCACCATGCGAATCTAAAGCTTCACATCTCATGTCAGCCCAGAGCAGGTCGGGAGAAGGGGCAAGGTTGGGGTGTACCACATTATGTGAATCATTCTTCCGCACTTTTGATTACACCATTTCACCACTACCCAATTTCCCACAAGAAAGAACTTACATTCACATGGGACTACGCCGCAATGGTGAACGCAAAATACAGTCAATCTAAGTTTGTCTTGATTCGTCTATAAAGTCTCCTTAGAGACAGACGCATGCCAGTATTGCGTACTTGCAGACTTAACAAGTTCCTAGCTCTCATATCGATGATGGGAGTCGGCGAAATGCCGCTGCCTGCGCAACCAAGCTTCGGCCGTAGCCGGAATACCCGCTCCCACGTCGGCCATGCTCATATATCCTAGTATCCTCCTCTTGACGTGGCAAACTCTTTCAAACGCCTCAAAAAAACTCCTGTCCCCATGCCCCAGCCGGCAGATGCGAGTGTCCATGACCCTAAGCCTATACAAGAAGTCCATGTTTCGCAACATAAGTTTCCAAACCCAAGGCACCAGATTTTTTTGTTTTGCTGCCGTCCCCGCTAATCCTCAAGTGGCGGCGGTATCAACCCGCGCCCCATCCTGAAGATCGTGGAATGAATGCAAAAAGAGCAAAGATCTAGAAAATGGTAAAAACATGATAAAAATAGCCAGCGCTTCTGACAAAGAAAAATGGCGCGAAAACAATTAAAAGTGATGTGTTAGAGGTGTCCCAGTCTGAGCAGAAGCTACCAACGCTTACAGACATTAACGCAAGGTATTGAAGTCTATCTCCGTACTTATACCGGAGAGACCAGGCATATCGGAATTGGCCCGCTGCAGTGCGTGGAAGTCTCCTACGGTGCGTGGGATTGGTTGTTGAGGGATAGCATAGCTACTGGCGCGCTGCGGTTGTTGACGCGGTATGGAATTCATGAGGTTGTTTCCACCTGGCCCCATAGGATGGGACGTCGGCATCGTCTGCTGGGATTGAACTGATGGTGGGCTGATGTTGCCCATGTTCTGCCCTTGCTGAATACTGTGGATGTGATGCTGGCTCATATTGGGCTGCATTTGCTGTGGCGTCATGTGGTTCTGAATCATGTGATGCGATTGCTGGTGTTGATGCTGATTGTTCATATTGCTCTGGCCGTTCATCGCCGATCCGTTCTGGCCGGCCGGGCTCATGACCATATCGGGCATCGGCGTGCATCCATAGTCGTTCATTCCGTTGTGGGGATACTCCATTGGTGGAGACATAATGGCGGGCGAACTGCTGGCAAAAGGCGAGTTCATATCCGCAGTAGTCGCTGGAGGAACGGATGATGCACTGGCAGACGTGGCAGGAATGGTGTTGGCCTCACTGCCGTTGCTGTTCATGTCGGACACGCCGTACTTCTTTTCGTAATCGGCAACCGAAAACTTCCTTTCGTAGTCGGTATCCATCTGCATCTGCATCTGAGAAGGGGGCTGTGCCATGCCCGCATTGCCGAAGCCATCAAAGATATCGATGTTACCCATGTTAGAATTTTCCGGCGCGTTTTGCAGCATCGGGTTGGTCAGACGAGGCATAATGTCGGCAACCTTGTTCAGCAACAGCGGCAGGAAGCGATGATCGCCATGGCGGAGGACGGCAACGATGTTGAGGGTCTGATTGAGTTGCTCCCGGGGGCCAACAGTGAAAGGATCCCGTGCGGCGGGCTGAACAGCGAGGAAGTCGGTCATGTTACAGCTAATCTCGAAAAGCTTTTCAATCTGCATAGAATGTTAGCAACAGGAGGAAAACAAATACACATCTGAAAACTCATACCAAGCCGGAGCTCATCAACTCCATTCCTTGTCCAGGAAAGTGAGAGGCGAGGGTCATTAGAAGCTCGCGGGACAGGTCGACTGGGTAGTTGAAGTTCATATTGTCTTCGTTGGACGAGTTTCCATGGGTCAATTGCCAAACAGTGCTCTTGAGCCACTGCTGGTTGGTACGAAGGTCCGATAGCTGGCCATCTTGGCAAAGGTAAGTGGGGAGGACTTCGTTCAGTTGCTTCTGCAGGTTGGATACATAGAGGTTGGTGCGCGTCTTATTCCAGATGGCTATGAAGGCGTCGTCAAAGGGGCGGAACAGGTTCACCAGCATGATGAAGCTGTTCAGCTGGTGGCTAAGTGGGTCGCTCGGGTCATCAGCAGAGTTGGGCGGGTTGATGGTGGCTTGCAAAGTCAAAGGTCGCTGGCGTTGGATGGCGTGAGATCTGCAAAGACGAGCGGTTAGTAGATGGAAAAGATTGACAGTTGGTTAAGTATTGACGGAAAAGGTTTTACCTTTCCATAATGTAAAACAGCCAGAAAAGCCGCCTTCTCCGAGAAGACTCGGCGTTATCCCATTGGGGGCCGTGGTACGTCTCCTCTTTGATCATGCCGTTGAGGTGCATCATGGTAGAAGCCTCGCGAAGGTAAAACCAAGCCTTGTCGTGCAGTTCAATGCCGTGGTAGCAGCCATAGATGAAGAAGTTTGTAGCAAGGGTGTTGAAGCTGATGTTGTCGAGGTAGTCGTAGCCCTTGCGGACTTGCAGGGTCTCCTCCAAAAGCAACTGGCTTGCGACGATGGTGGCACCAGGCATGACATCGAGGTTAAAAGGATCGCCTGTTGGCATTGACATTCCTGGCTGCAGCATCATGAATGCACACAGCGAGGTCAGTAGGCAGTAGGTGTCGCGGTTCTGCTCCATGAATGGGAGTTGCTGGTCGATTTGGCGTCGATCGAGGATAGGCATCTTTTCGTACAGGTTGGCAAAGTAAAAGTCGATGCATTCTTTGACGAGCTCACTCGAGAGCAGACCGGGGGTCGGGGCCAAGCTGACAGGGCCTGGAGGATACGGAATGCCGTTCATGCGGTTTTGAACTTTTGCGGACAAACTGGTCTGACGCTGTGTTTCCCTCAATTCGCTAATGACCTTTGCACGGGAGCCCTTGGGGCCCTTCTTCTGAGGAATAGCATTGTAGGTGCAAGACAGCTGTGCAGTATGACAGTTGCGACACGGATTGACGCCGTCGCATTTGACCTTACGGCGATGGCAGGCGTCGCAGGCCCGCTTGACGGCCTGTGTCATTGTGGCGACGTACGGTGAAGACGTTGTGGCGGTTGTTGTCGTCGATGGTCGACGGTCGCTCTGAGACAGGCAAACCAGATGGGTGTGAGGATTATTCCGAGCGACGGCGACGGCTCTGTTAGGACGCTGGCATCGACAATGAAGGTCTAGCGGGCGTTGATTGAGTTTTGCGGGGAAAGAGGATTGATAAGAGAAGGTGCAGAGTGATGGAAACGGGCTTCTGGGACAATAGGAGCGATCCGTGGAGTTGTGTTGGCGAGGGATGGAGTGTGTATTCGGCCCTTTCTGTATGCAGTCGCTGGGAGGGAAACGCGGGGGATGGTGCCAAAATCCGGGGCTGCGACGCCCGTTACAACCCTTTCCGTTTGTCTGTGCAGAAAGCCTGCTGCGTGAAAAGTCTGCCCAGGAGTCGAGTTTGTCGATAAGTGTGCGAAAGTGTCGTCGATTTGTCGAAGAAGAAGCCCCAGACCGAAGACGATGAAGGGTAGACTGCACGATTTTTCTCGGTGAGGGTCGGTCGGGTAGGGAGAGTGAGTTGCAGGTTCGAGAGTTGCGTGGTAGGTGGTGTGTTTGAGTGGGCGGAAGGAAAGTGGATGGAAGGAAAGAGGAGGAGGGTGGATGGACTGGGAAAGGGAGGGAAATGGGAGTGGAAAAGAGGAAGGGACAGGGCAACAATGGAGAGTGAGTGGGCACCTGCCAGGCAAAAAGAGACGGCGAACGGGAGACTCGAGAGGGACGACAGAGACGGCAGGAAAGGACAGCCACAGTGCAATACCTATGGAAGGTGCCCACCAGTGGACAGTGGCAGCCAGAAAGGAACGGAGAAGACGTGAGGGCCTCTTGCCTTGCTTAGGTTGTCAAGTGGATCCATGTTGGCTTCGCTAGGCCCATTGCAGCAGAGTCACTATTTCGTTTCGGGAGTAGCGGACTTGGAGAATGAGAACGGACCTCTTTCTGCACTGTGTGGAGGCAAGGTGGGTGTCTGGTGACAAACCACAGAAAATACTCGAGAATAGGCAGGAACAATGGGCAAAGAAGGGTGAAGGAACACCTTCTCCTGGCATGTTTTCCCACAGTAAAGGGTAGGGCAGGTACTGTGTACACCTCCTTCCATCTTCCTCCCCTCTCGTCAAGCCCCATCGTTCTAACCTCCGCGCCGATGGGCCACCTCACCTTCTACGTGTGGTACCTAGGTAAGGTACCTATTTCTGGTGACTCCCTCAATTCCAAGGCATCCCCGCCATCTTCTTGTTGTTCATGATTTCCCTCTTTTATTGTGCCAGACGCAACAAATTTCCACGATCAATGCAGAGGATCCCAGGGACAGCAAGTTCAATAACAAAGCAGCTAAACTGCACTGCGGATGCCAAACATAATCAGAGTCAGACAGTCTCCCAGGCCAAGGGCTCAGCCAAGTGGCAGCAGGCAGGGTCCGACGGGATTATCGATGTGACGACTTCACAAACACACGGAACACGCCGCCTGCAACGTCGTACGAAGGCTGGAGCGCCTATTGTCCAAGACCAAAAGTCGCTTACAACGCCCAATCCAAAACGAACAAGCCAATCGAGTCCGCTTCCGTCGTCGGTCACCGGTGTCCGTTGTGCTGGGAAAAAACCGAGGTACCAAAAACCAGCCTGTCGGTTGGCTCACTGCAGCCTACGCTGCGCTGCGCTGCCCCCTCTCACCCACCTGCGGAATGGGATGAGTTGCATTTCGAACGGAGCCCGTCACTCTCAACTTTCAATAAGTACCTCCTCGCCATATTTATGTGATATGGTACCCGGCACGCCTGGAAGCTTGCAGACTCTGGCCGCTGGAAGATGGCAGATTGCTGCCGATGCCCGCCGTTGCTGTCCCTGCCCTGGCGCTGTACCCGACAACTAC